ATTTAGTTGTAGGAAATTTTGACGCATCCAGTCTTTGATTTGCTTAATGCACTGGCACAGAAGATCTACGGGGCGATAGTCGTTTGGTGATAGCGCTACATAGATTTGGGTGTCATCAGCGTAGCAATGGTGGGCAATTGATTTGTCCTAGTGGGAACATGTAGATGTTGAATAAAGTCGGCCCTAAGATCGAACCTTGGGGGACTCCACACGTTACGTTGGTTGTTTCTGATACGAAGTCACCAATGGAAACAAAATAGTTCCTGTCTTGTAGATATGACCTGAACCAGCTTAAGACTGTGCCTGAGAGCCCCACCCAGTTTTCCAACCTGTCCAAAAGTATTGAGTGGTTGACAGTATCAAATGCAGCACTGAGGTCTAATAGCATTAATATTGAAGTTTTGCCAGAGTCTGTGTTAAGACGGATGTCATTTACAACTTTAATAAGGGCCGTCTCGGTGCTATAAAGAGGTCGAAATCCTGACTGGAAATTGTCGTGGCAGCCAGTTGAAGCAAGGAAGTGATTAAGTTGTTGTAGGACAACTTTCTCAATTATTTTACCTATAAAAGGAAAATTTAATACATGTGTAACACGACCTTTGGGTTGGAAAGCTGCTCCAGGAGCAATGGGGACTTGTTAAATCAGCTGCTCGGCCGCTCTGATGTCACATGTTCACCGACTTATGAAAACGTAAACTGGCTGTTGATTAAATGTGTGCTGCCAAAATACTGAAAAGTCCTTTTGTTTATTAACAAACCTTTATCACCAGGGAGTCTCTAAGATTTTTAATATATTTTTTTACATTTAATTTCTTGATGCATGTACATAACACATTTTGTATTATTATTCGTATCTATGAATATATGTATAGTGAACTCTGCCCTCTCAGACTTCGAGGCTCCCGTTGACCTCGTGACGGTTTGCTTCTGTCATGTCATCACAACGTCTGAGCCCTTTGTGTCATTCACATCAAATGGCGACTTGGTCCAAGGGAATTACCCACAAGTCATCGCAATATGGCGTTAAACACAGGATATCCAAAAACATTATTGAAGATAAGCTCTCATCTTGAGCATAAAGAGCCTGACAGACTTTCAAACCAGAGAATTAAAAACTGAACTAAATACCCTCATTTTGTAAATCATACGTTGATTGGCATGTGACAGAAGAGTGCAGACTCATATTTACACAAACCAGTAACAAGTGATGCTGTGACACTTTTGAAAGTGATGAACTTATTCAAATATAATTTGCTTTAAGCAGTCTTGACGTCAGACAAATGATCTTGTTTCAGATTCAGGGATGTAGTGAACAATGGAGCCAGCTGACTAATACTATTTACGAACCAGAAGACAAGTAAGTCATGAAGGACAAATGTCCCAGAATCTTTTTGACGGATTGACCTACGCTCATTTAATTACTATAATACCCACGTTCTTTCACCACCTTTACATTGACGTGAGCCTGCATGTAAGATACGATATTCTTTTATTAGTCCCACAAGGGGGAAATTCACAGGATTCCGGCAGCAAAATGGAAAGTACACACAAAAAAAACACAGGGGCAGCAGTATCATGATAATAATAAAATGACAAGAATAAGGTTAAAAAGAAATGGTGAATCCTCAAGGACCACCAATGTTGGTCACGGAGTCCCACAAGGTTCTGTGCTTGGACCGATTTTATTTACCCTGTATATTACATTACAGGTCATTTAGCTGACGCTTTTATCCAAAGCGACTTACATTACACTTTAAACCCATGGCTTTTTTACATTTTTGCCCGGGGAGCAACTAGGGGTTAGGTGTCTTGCTCAGGGACACTTTGACTTGAGACATGGGGCAGCCGGGACCCGAACCACCAACCTTGCGGTTCCCAGTGCACCCGCTCTACCCCTGGGCCACGACGACCCGTATATGCTTCCTTTGGGCTACGTTATCAGAAAACACTGCATAAACTTCCAGTGTTACGCAGACGATACTCGACAGTATCTGTCGATCAAGCCAAAAGAGACCGGCCAGATTGTTAGACTTGTAGTTGCTGTAGTTGTGGCTGTTAGACAACAATGTCTTGGAGACATCGGAACTTGGATGACCAGCAGCTTGCTGATGCTGAACTCAGACAAAACCGAGGTTATCATGATAGGCCCAGAGCGCCTTCGAAGTCAGCTGTCAGGTGATACAGTATCTCTGGATGGAACTGCTTGAATGTCTTGAATGACATTGTTCATTCTGTACACATGACATCCATTGTAGTCTGTCCTTCCCGGGAGAGGGAGCCCTCCTCCGACGTTCTTCTTGAGGTTTCTTCCCTTTTTTTCCTCATCGAAGGGTTTTCCTTTTTTGGAGAGTTTTTCCTGTGCCGATGTAAGGGTTTCGGGACATAGGATATCTTATGTGTACAGACTATAAAGCCCTATGAGGCAAATTTGGGATTTGGGATTTTTAGCTATACAAAATAAAATAAATTCAATTGATTTTCAGAATTGTAATTGTATCCATGAGTTGTATCATCTGTCTCTGATGGTAATTGTTTTGGTGTTGTTTTTTCTTGTTCATGTGAGAGCAGATTGGCCAATCAATGTTTCATGTTAAAGCATCTACTCCTCGTGTCTTCTTCTCTGCTTCTGGTGAGAGAGCTACACGTAGTCACACGAGTAACATCAAGGCTCCAGATATTTGTCGTCTTTCAAAGTAAAGGTGATACACAGAAAGTTTCTGAAGCAGAACCACTGAGAACAACGTGCAGATGTTTGGCTGCAGGCCTCTCACGCTGTCGGCTCACCTCGAGTGAACCACAACCCCACCCGACGAGTCACATGACTGAAAGGCTGTAGTGTGATGTGAATCACACCAGAGGGCAGCATTACCCAGAGTTCTCTGCTGCTGCAGGCCACACTCAATTAAAACACTTCACTGAGAGAAAGAGAGAGAGACAAGGTGTGAAAGGCCACGGGTCCAGACAGCATCAGCTCAAGGCTCCCCAGGTCCTGCACACCAGCTTTGCGGGTGGTAGAGCACGTCTTCAACCTGAACTTGAACCTGGAGAGAATACGGCTGAGAAAAAAACGTCCTGCGCGGTACAAGTCCCAAAGACCCCACGACCCGAGGACTTAAACAGCTTCTGGCCGGGGGCAACACTAGAGAGGCAGGTTCTTGTCCATCTCCGCCCCCTGTTGAGCTCATCTTTGGACCCACTATAGTTTGCATATTAATCCAGCATCGGGGTGGATGATGTACCTGCAGCACAGATTCCTCTCTCACCTGGAAAAGGCTGAAAGTTCTGTGAGAGTCATGTTTTTTTATTTCTCTAGTGCCATCAGTACGATCCAGCCTCTACTTCTGAAGGACAAGCTGGAGCCACCACCTGACTGCATAGATCCAGGAGTACCTCACCAACCGTCCAGAGGGTAAACGCAATAACATCCTGGGAACGGACATTGACAGCGTGTGATTTTAGTACCTGGGTGTTCACTTGAACAATAAACTGGACTGGGCAGATCATATCTGTGCGCTTTACAAGAAGGGTGAGAGTGCAGGGAGCACTCCTAAAGACCTTCTTTGACTACGTTGTGGCATCTGCCATTTTTTATGGAGTGGTCTGCTTGGGCAGCAGCATATCAATGGCCGACGGGAAGAGACTTAACAAACTTATCAAGAAGGCCAGCAGTGTGCCAGGGTGTCCACTGGACACGGGGAGACAGGAAGACGATGATTAATCCGCTAATCGCTAATGAGCAACACCTCTGGTGGACGCCCTGGAAGCTCCGTACAACTTGTTTTTTTACCATGTATCTTGTGCGCACTGTACACTTTGCTGCCGCAACCCTGGGAATTTCCCTATTGTGGGACTAATAATGGAATATCTTATCTTAGCATATCACCTCTTTGTGGCACCATTTATAAGTAAATTTTGGCACATTGTTCATCCTTTTAAAAATCCAAAATTCAGCCACACTGTCTCTGACCAACGATCTAAAGACAGGAAGTGTGTCCTGGCTGGTCCCGCCTCTGCTCTTCCTGCTGCTGTAGATGGCCAGCTTGGCCTCTCCTGTCACCAGGTACAGCGGTCCGGCTTCCGGTAGCGAACCCCCTAAAAACCCTCTGCAGAACATTTCCCCCAGCCCCTCGCGCCCCACCTGTTATACCTCCGCGCCCCAGCAGAGGGCCGCGCCACACAGTTTGAGAACCACTCCGTTAAGCTAACATGGGAAACATGTTTGAAGTTGTACAGGATTTTAGCATCAGCATGTTAGCAGGGAGCAGATAGTGGTAGCTTAGCAGTATATCCAAATAATCAAGCTAACCATTTATAGTTTTCTGCAGAGGACGGTTTCCTTTAAAACGTCTATTTAGCTCACACACTGAAACACAAAGATCATAAAAATTGAAATAAAAAAAACTCAACTATTGAACAAAGTAACCTGTATGAATTTTTTACTAATGTGTTCATGGAGTTCCTAAATTGGCTTTAAAAATAACATGGTAGTGTTTTCTTCCACATGACTTTCCAGCAAGACATTAATCTTATTCAAGGTAAAACCTACCAGTCAGGTTAAAAAAGTTTTACTTTTAATGTTTGACTGTATAAAGTTAAGTCTCAAAGCACATACATATTTCTCCAATCATGAAAATCATCAAAATAAGGGATTTTTTTTGATTATCAAACAAAATGCAAAACTTAGTCAATCATGGATAGAGGGTTCAATCACTGAAATTGTTATTTCATCGAGTCACTTGCACATCTCCTTCAGTTCGGGACAGCACCACTAGGTGTCGGCACATCACCACTGATTACCGTTGGTCACAAACAATAAGTATATTTTAATAATAAGTTAAAATAGTTTCTAGAAAAAGCGGCAGCGCCTATCTTTTCAGGAGATAAACTGTAAAATGAAATTGAAAGTTTAGAAAGCGGTCTCAGACCTTTCAGTTTAGGAACATAGAACTCTGCTATGGAGATTATATCTAATCACCTCTATATAAGAAGACAAACACTCATCCCTTACGGCACGATATTTATTCAACAATATACAGATTAATTTCTCTATCTTAGACTGATCTGCAGTTTTTATATGTATCTTGCTTTCACTTTTGTACATTTTTTTTATTTACAAGATTTAAAATAAGTCTCTCCATTTATACATCTTCAATAGTACAGTGTTATCACATCGTCCAGCGGCTTCCCTCGAAGTGACCAAATAGGATTTATCATCGATAATCTGTATTTCATACACCAACTAAGGTCTTTAAACTACAGAGCAGCAAACTGACAGGAGGAGCTCCACATGCACCAAACATCACGATGTGGCTTCCTCTCTGCGAGGGCAGTCAGATCGCAAATGATCGATCCTTTTTTTATTTCACCCACATGAGAGTTCCTTCGCTCTGCAGCGTCCCCGTACGATGGGACTAAAAAAAAACTAAAAAAAAAAAAACTGCTTAATGCATCTCGCCCGTCCCGGATCAATAGAAGTTGGGAACACCAAAAATGATTTTTTTTAAAAAGGGGAAAACATGTTGCATAGAATCAATTCTGACTTCAAGAACAGAAATTTTGGTGTTGCCATTTAACGTGAGTCTCTTCGATAAACTCTTTCCAGACCCCCCCTCGCATAATTATTTTTGGTTTTGAAAAAAAAAAAAAAAAAAGATTGAATAGCTGTACCCATAGACTCTTTAACAAAAATAGCATTATGTTGAATTTGACATCACATAGAAGAACTACTTTAAAAGAGACTTAAACCCTGCATTGAGTATACTCATTTGCACACAAATACACGTATAATATATATATATATATATATATATATATATATATATATATATATTATATTTCAATAAGTATCTTGAGGAGAGAGGTGGATGGATTAAAGTGCATAAATCAAAGCCCACAGTTATCACATGCAGGACAGGAAATTAACTTTGTCCACCGGCGGCAGTACAACATTTTACTGCCTAATTGAGACCTTTTGAAATGAAATGGACCTTATGTAGAGTTCTGGACCATCGGTCTACTCACACGAACAGCAGACACAGTTGTGTCAACACTTACCGGCTGGTGTTTATTTCCCGCCCTGATCACATGCAAATGACACCAGACACCGGGGAATAATTAACCACGCAGAGTGCGGACATGGATGCTGGTAACCTTGGTCCGCAGCGCTTACATTTATGACACAAACACATCACCCGCTTAAAGAAAAGAAAACTGCACTGCCACAAAATACAGGAAATGGGATCAGGGCCGGTTGTGAGCGACGCAGCATGGGGACAACAGCGCAGAGGCCAGGTGAGTGTGAGCTGCTCTCCGGTCTTCTTCCTCCACAGTCCAGTCCAGCAAGGAGGAGGAGGAACATGCAAGTCCAAAAGTGCCGGAGGCATTTTTTCAGGCTGAAATGTTTAAGGCTGAAGCGCACACAGAACTTATTCAGGAGCAGCAGCTGTGAAGGTTTGCAGCACAGCAGGAGCGCGACTGTGTGGGACTTTTATATACATTAAATCAGTCACTCTTGGTTTTTACACCAGCAAGACATTGGGAAATGCAATACGACATCTACAGTGCACGGACGCATAATATACTGCTTCTACGGCAAATAGTAAGTGTCTCTCACACACACACACACAGAATTTATGGCAAATAAGGATGAAGCTGCATCTAAGAGCACGTCAAGCCGTACGTCCAAACATCCCTTTTGCTTATTTTGTCCCATAACTTTGAAATAAGACGCGCAAACAGAAAGAAAAAGAAAATAGGCATTTTGACTTAAGACACCTAAGCTAAACAACTTAGGAGAGGATGTGTATTGGCACATCTGGCAAAGTCGAGGATGAGACTTGGGCTTGGCTCGCTGTTAGCTTCGCACATCTGAAACAGCTGTGCTTTGCAGAGGACTAAACATGCAGGCAAGTGCGCCATGTTCAAACCACTGGGCAGGAGGAAAGGGCGGGTGGTGGGCAGAACAGAAGGCTAGCGAGCACTGTTCAAAGATGCAAGCATTAAAACAGCAGATTTAAACTCCATGCATAAGAGCATAAAACAATTGCACTTCATAAATCATTACATAAAAAAAATAGAAGCCAGACATTTCTAGAGAATTCAAATAATCCGGTTCATCCCGAGGTGGGTGTCGGATGTTGTCGTTTTGCAGCTAGGTTTAGTGCGTGGTGCGATTGAGCCTGTCAGTTCTAGTGTGAAACCAGTTTAAACCCCCAAACTGTTCACGCACTCCGGCTTCAAACCCAAATGGGAGGCTTTGAATCCTGCGGCGTCTGATTGGGGGAGACGGGTGTCCGAATGGCAGGGTGAACACACAATGAGGTAGAACATAATTTTCATGAGCGTCCAATCAGAGCGCAGGACGTGAAGAGGATCGCCGCGGCGACTGAGAGGAGCCTGCGGAGGGCAGTACGTCACTGGCTCAGACCCGACGCCACTCACAAAAGGCCCGAGTGCGACAGAACACACCAACGGGTGCTTTAAGATGGAGGGACCCATTGAATGGTTTCAACCGTAGCAACAATATAAAATACAGTCACTGCCTTTTGGCTTCAAAACCAAACCTGCAACATCTACGTTGTGTTGTTGAATCCAGATTCACTTTCAAATATTAACTCCGGTCACATGACAAACTCATTCCTGTTGTAGCTGCACAGTGGGGATTTCTTCACATTTGTCCAGCTAAAGGCTTTGAGCTAGTAACATCCTAAATCACGAATTTCAATTTGGTTACACAACAATCTTCCAAGTCTGATTCGAGAGATAAAATAATGGTCAGGGGCAAAAGAAAAACACAGAATCACTTTGGTCCGACGGATTTTTGCCAAATCTCTTAAAGAGGTAAACATACACTAATTTTTACCTTCTTTGGGTTTTAATACCTTAAGACCATCTGTGCCACTAAGAATTAAGAACAACAAATGACCGAGAAGATAATCAGCAGAATCGATTGCACGTGAGCCCGGGAATGAAAGGGGAAGGAATGAAGAGAAAGAACAACAATCCCCACTCTTCTCAAACATGACGGTAAGTGTTATTGCAGATTCATTTAGACTGATTCTGAAACTTACACGCACACATCCCCCACAGCTAGCGTGGCATCTTCACGCGTTCCCCCTCAACGTCTGACCTCCTCCTGAGGAACCTTTCTGTGAGGAATGCACCGCTCGGTCAGACGGAGGATGCAGTGACATGCTGGACTGGAGTCTATAGCAGAGAGCACTTCTCTCTTTTCAGTAACGCTGAACCCACCAGCAACGACTGCAGGTCACGGCGTTCAATGGATGTTAAAAGGGGGGAGAGCACAGCTCTAGAGAGCACACACACACACACACACAATACAGTAGACCGAAACACAGGACTGTTGAAAGTTGCAGAGAGAAACTGCAGGACTGTGTGTGTGTGTGTGTGTGCGCCGCGTCCTGCGCTGCGCGTTAGACCTGTGATATGATCTGCATGTTGAAACTGGGGGAGCGGGACTGCTTGGTGAGAGGAGCTACAGGAGACTGGAGGTCCTCGCCGTCCTCTGGCCTGATCAGGTGCTCCTCCTTCAGGCTGATGGTGGAGTGGCGGTGGGAGCCCCCACCTGGAGCCCCCCCCTCCTTGTCTCGTTCATTGCCGCCTCCGTTCAGGTTGAGATTCATGCAGTCAAAGGACTTGCTGGAGGCGGTGCTGTCAGTCCGCACCAACGCGGGCACCACGGGGAAGCTCAGGTGCTTCTTTATGGGGCTCAGGTGGATGGCCTCCAAGGTGATGCTGGCTGGGGGCGACTGCTGCCTCTGGTGGTGCCTCCTCACCGCAGCCTGGTGATCAGCTGACAAATCCGCCTGTTTTTCCACCTCTGCCTCCCTCTCCCTCGCTTTCTCCCGATCCTTCTCCCTTTCTCTCTCTCTCTCTCTCTCCTTCTCCCGAGACAGTCTGGCTGTGATTGCTTTCTTGATGCTGCTGCTGCTGTTCAGGCTGCCGCTCCTCGGCCCCATGCTGCCGCCTGCCTTGGTGCCGCTGGGCTGGCTGCTGTTGGACGCCCCGGAGGAGAAACCCTCATCCGGGTCGTTGACGTTGAAAGAATCTTCCCCGGCGCTCATCCCGTCGGCGTCTGAGTGTCCACGTGCGCGAACATAGACGGAGAGAAAAACGTGACAGACAAAAGAAAGTGAGCGAGGCGGACAACGACAAATTTAAATACAATTTGATCGTAAAAATAAAATTAAAACCTTTGGAGAATATTCATTTTTGGTTTTGTAGTTTAAAGGAAATCTTCTACTATTAATTCTGACAAAAAGTCAAAAGGCTTCTTGTTTATGATGATGAGAACAGGACAGCAACAAACGGATTAATCTGAGCAATAGGATAGAAACAATTAGCCTTCCAAATAGCCACCACTAATCAACACACGATGCCGCTTCATTAGCTCAGTACAAGTCAATACGGCACAAGATGACCTTGACCTTTGATCTAATTCAGATTGACTAAAATCAGCATTTTGTTTAGGAAAAGTGAGGGCTCATTAAGCTGCCGGATAAGAGAGCGGAGCCTGTCTAGCAAAAAGGTTTCATGTTCAATATACATTGGATTAGATCATCATCACATAGAATAAGCACAACATTTACATGAAGACGTTTTAACAATTAAACATGTATTAATTCATCCATGACATCAGTGTTGGAAGGCTGAAAGGAGAACAAAATATGATAAAGAGTTAGAAAAAAAGTATGTTAATGACAAAGTGTGCTGGCAAAAGCCTGTGAGACGAGAGGACCAGCCGTCCGTCTCCGTCATGCATCGTTGGGACAAGCAAAGTTGGACCATGGGAGCACAGGAAACAAAGGAGCAACCGAGAAGAAAAGGTCTGGACCGACATGCACATAACATGAGGAGACTCATGCTCTCCTGCTCCCCCCCCAAAATCCCCCGTCTCTCCTGCAGCACCGGCGCAAGTCCGTGATCAATAGCACTCCAGCTAGAGATGGAGAGCTCAATGTTCTTGAACGTTTTAGCCTTTAGTCCACCTGTTTGTGCGACTCACTTCCTGTTCGTGCTTGCTACCCGCCTGAAATGTGCTTAAGGCTGAAAAATAGTCGTTATCATTTCTGGTATTTAAAAAAAAGCTGGGCAGCCTAACTGAAAGATCCGAAACATCTGAGACACTCAACACAAGATCGGCCCGTTTGAACGGTTCCGCCTTTAAGTTCACAGTACTGGGTTTGTAAACCGTGACAATACTCAGTATGCTGCCATGGCTTTGTGATGATAAAAGTGTGTGTTTTTTTGATTTAGCGGAAATATTCAAAAGCTTGCTGTAGCGTGCACATGCGATGATGACGGGCTGGTTCCCACTCACTGAGCGCGAGGGGGGGGGCGGAGAGAAGGGAAACACGGCACAAGCCAACATACAACAAAGCTGCTGGGCTGAAAAGCAAAATGGAAGGCCTACTCCCGCACAATGGCGGCAGCAGATGGTCGCTGCTGGCTCGAGTCACCAAAAACCTGTGGCGCTGTCAAAACACCGCGAGGAGCACGACAGACACAAGATGTCGGGTGCTCTCTGCCAGCTTTCTCTAAAAACGGATGCATTTTTACAGTTTAAAAAAAAAATATATATAATAAATAAATCTATAAAACCAAATGGAAAACGTCTGGAGTAAAAAGGCCAGGCCGCCGGCCGGGCACTCGACATGCTCGGTGAGTGACACGGGCTGCAGTCTGAAATGCATTTGAGGCACGATGAGGAAAAAAAGAGAGGAGACATGACATAATGGCGGGCCCATGCAAAACGACCACTAGCCAAACTTCCTTCAAACCCAGAATAGGAGACTCTTCCTTTCTTAATTGAGACGATAAAAACAGTCGTGGCCTGGAGGTAAAACGGGTTGTTGGCTCGAGGATCGGAACAAACTGGATGAGTTACGATACTCTGGGGAAGTGAAGAGGCGGACCAAACGGGAGCGGCAGAGTGAACATCCCCACGTTGAGGAAAGGGGGAAGGCGGAGAAGGAGGGTTGGGAGGATACAAATCGAAGGGGCACCTCCTCCAGGGACCCTCTCTGCTCCGAGTGTCCGCCCCTGTCCCCTACCCTCAAATGTGATGGGGGGAATGATGCTGCTGCTGCTGCTGTAGTGGTAGCTGTGAGGCCGCCCTTCTCTATCCTCTTTGGCTGTGGGGTCCCGGGGAGGGTGGTGTTGGTGGTGGCTGTGGCGGTGGTGCTGGGCGAGGCTATGAGGATTGACGATGAGGCTCGAATCTGCTGCGGTTGAGTAGTCAAAACAATCTGGGAGTCAACAACACAGACGGGGAAACAGGTTTCTTTAGTGGCAGCGAGCCTCAACCGATTTGGGCCTCATCACGGCCAACAGCGGTTTGTAAATTCACTTGAGAAGAAAACGATAAAAAGGAATGCAAAATCTATTTAAAAGTGTGACGTTCATCTACCGGGTAATAAGGTGTCATTGGGATCTTGTCGTGGGTTCCTCGTAAACTACAGACCCTTAAAGGTTACTGGTGAGCCAAAGATCAGCGCACACTCGATAGACAAAGACAAGCAAATAAAAAGCGAGAAGGAGCTGTGAGCGGCACAAGCATTGAAACACAGACTACAATTACAGACAGTGAAACACCACTTGGACAACGCTAATGGGGGAACTGTACACAGAGACAGGTCGTCTCCTTACAGCAGAAAAGAGTTAATCTCTCATCAAATAGTTTCCTCCTGTGGCATTTCACTGGTTAGGGGAAAAAAAAGTTTTACAGCTTAAAACATGACTCAATAGTGGAGCTTTTTCTTACATAAAAAGCACATAAAAAAAGTTCTGTAATGCATGTAGTGTGAGGTCTCCTGCTTCGAGGCCACTTTGCAGTACTCTCCTCCTCCTCCCCCTCTAGGGCTGCTGCAGTCTTACCCTCTCTCTTCCAGCGGTGGCGGCGTATGGAGGCAGTGGTGATGGCCGAGATGGAGATGCGGCTGATGGTGGGTGTCACCTCCACCTGGAGCACTTTGCGCCCACACGGCTCATCCGGAGCGCTGTCCGGCAGCGAGCTCTTCATGGCGTTGCCCAGCTGGAGACGACACATGCAGAGATCGATGAGCGGTGACTCGGTAAAAGCGGCGTGGCGGGACAACATTTCGGGCCCGACAGGTCGAAACGTAGTGTAGGGCGCGCTTACCAAGAGAGGCTGGGAGTAGAGCTCCAGCTGGGCTCTGTACAGAATATCCTCCAGAGCTTCCCGTCCCATCTCCCACTCTCCATTGTATCTAGAGATTTAAAAAAAAAAAAAAAAAAAAAAAAACAACGACACTGAAATTTTTTTTAACCACGTCACGTTGTGAGCTCATTTGCATGAACGAGAGTGTCTGACGAGGCGCCTTGATGTATGAGTCTCCTCCCTGTGAACTATCATTAGATATTTAGCAACGTCTGCAGCTTCGGCGGCGGGAAGAAAGTGAAGATGGACATTCAGAGTGATTATACCTCACTGACGCACAATGGACGTTTAACCTGAGCTAAACCCGTTTAATGTCTTTCTAAGACAGTTTTACAGAACTAATTTCTTTCATTCTGTGAAAATCACAAAAAGGGAAAGGAGAAATTTGAACTGCATATTAAGCATTAACTAAATGCTTAAAACGACTAATTTGTGTCAAGTCTAAGAGTTAAAAAGATATGCAAATCATTGTGCGTGGGTTTGTAGGCAAATCTTTTGAGTTCCACAAATGGCACTCTGCTATAGATGACGGCGTCTTTAGCTTTACACAAGGCGTCACAACCTCAAAGTCAATCAAGTGTGATTAAAGGGACACCAACCATAAATAAATAAAATATAAATTATTCATAAAAGGAAGAAAAGAACGATACTGTTGAACTTTCTTTGATCTAGACAACTGCACGAGTTTCCCTTTAGGCTCAAGATGAAAAGGATGGAATGAATGGGCAGATAATAAAAAAAAGACTGATGTTCTGAGGCCTGGAAAATGAGTCCAGAATAGATTTAAAAAAAAAAACTAAATCACAGAAAAATGTGGCATGTCCATTTGTTCAGATTTCCCCCTGGGTCTTTACCCCTTTCTCTCTCGCTCTCTCTTCAAGTGGTACTGCTGCACTGAAGCATTAGCAGACACGTTACCCTAAACGCCAGAGGATCCTTGACGAGTGCCACGGTCCAACGTGCGGAGTCGTGGGTTCACGTTTAACCGGCTTCCATGTGCTCCTGCTCCAGCTGAAGGTGGGTTGGATAGTTCAGGCTGGCACCGCGGTGCCGGCGGGGGTCAGTACTAAAAAGGTGATTATTCTAACACACTCTCTGTATAGGCACTGACTGTTGGCATCTCCAGACTGCTGCGGTGCACCTTCGAGGAGGCGGTGAGCCAGAAGGCATTCAAGCCCCCCACTCCTTCTTTGCTACAGCGTCGCCAACAGTGGTGTTTGCAGTCACTGCATTATGAGGGGATCAGTCTACGGGGACGAGCTATCATCAAGGAGCCGTAATCAGCTTTGTCTTCATAGTGAATGAAACAACACACTGCTGATGTGATCAGCCTGAACGACAGGAGCTCGAAACATTTGGGAAGTTTTCTGCAGAAGATGGCGAGTGACTAGTAGAGACTGCTCATTAGGGATGTCAGAAATGTGTAAGCACATGAATGAAAGGCACTGCCTGTAGTTTCAAATTGCAAATGTGACAATTTGAAGGGGGTCAATGAACCTGCACTGAATTATCACTTAAATCGGCGGTTCGGCTTAACAGAGATTGAGAGCATCTTCCAGCTCATTATGTTTCTCCGTCAATGTCACCGCTCCCATAACTTTATACCAAGCAGATATACCAGACAGAGTATTGAACTTTTATCTATCAGGTGGTTCCAAACACCACTCCAAAACAAATTATAATCTTGCTCTGTTAGTGCTGGATGTGCAGATGAGCAAATGTTTGCGAATAAGTTGGAAGCAACGGGTTAAATACTTACATGGCGTGGTACACGCCAGTCAGCATCTGAACCATAAACTCGGGGTCCAGCAGCACGCGGTTGCACGGTTCCCTCCAGAGCTTCTGCTGCTGCCGGGGGAAGCCGCATACACACAGCCTGAGGAGAGAAACACACACAGACACACACATAGTAGGTGAGGGGAGTGTTATTCATACAGCAAAGAGATAGGAGCCTTGATGAGGCAGAAGAAAAAACAAAACATCAATTACTTCAAGAACTACAAAAAAAAAAAAAAAAAATCCATCAAACAATGTGCCAGAGGAGCAAAGTGTACACTTGTATAGGTCAGTGGGGATAAGATGAGAGGGCCTTTGGGGCCTACACGTTGAAAATGAGCATTGTGCGTCTAGACAGTTTGCCTCCTGTCTAGACCGAGATCGCTCCAGGCACAGCGGGGAAGCCGTCGTATCCTGAACAGTCTGCGTGCCGCATTGGACCAATCTCTCTGCTGCAGAGACTCACTGTGAATTCCTTTCTCATGACTCCGGGGCACCTCAGTGTTTCTCCAGTCGCACATGCTCGGACAGGTATCCAGCAGCAGTGCTTTCATCAGAGCCCGAAAGAAATCTCAATACTTATCAAATCACGCTGCAACCGGGAGTTGCGCAACGAGGTCAGCGCTTAGCTACGGGGTGAGGAAAGGTGCATCAACGATCGACAGAGCAAATCATGGCGTAAGAGGAGATGGTGGTCACTGATTGGGTGCAGAAAGGAACCAAAACGGTTGGTGACACTCAAAACATGTGTGGCCCCCCCCCTTACCGTGAGCTCATCCTGCAGACCGACTGATAGGAAGACAGCGGCATGTAGACGACAGCGGAGTTGTAGCAGAGCATGAGGAAACACAGCACTTCGAACCTGCAAGCAGAACAAAAAGGGAATTAAGCACAGGTTGAATGAACTCATTTAAAAAAGGGAAGCACTACTGTCATGTAAAGCATCAGCATTTCTTTTAACTTGATTTCAGGTTAAAACTCCAATTTGGGTCCATTTTTGTTAGCACTCAATCAAACACCTTTGCTGCAGACAATTACGTAGAGCTGCTGAAGCAATTTATGAACTATGAGCTGTAAAATTAACTGTTGTGCAAAACGCTGCCTAAGCGGTTTTGTTCATCGGGAACTACTGGAGTGAATGTAGCGCATTTCTATTTAAATCTCTGGAAAACCATCAATTTGAAACAATCAATTTGCAGATTGGTACAAATATCAGCATTGTGCATTCCCATTTGGTGTGTATGTGCACGTTAATGGAGGTTGACCAGAAACCTCGGGTGTCGAGGAGGTGAATGTCCCAGTTGTACATCATCAGTTGGAGTGAGTCGGACCTCTCGGCAGCTTCAGGCTTTCTTCTCCTAAACCGTATCTCAGGCACACAAATAGGTTTCCGGATAATCGATCCATCCCCTGTATTTATGTGGCTCTCTGTTCATTCCGGCTACAAACGCAGAAAGGATAACCAGAGATATCTGTGCTGCTCTTACGCATCTGAAGTCTCAGAGCAGCTGATGTAGGTGTCACTTCAAAACGGAGGAGCCTTTTCAGGCAGGGATGCAGCAGGCCTCATTACTATGCAGAGATTATTATTTATCCACAGAAGTAGGAAATACGCAAGAGCCAAAAAAGCTTTCAGGGCCGACTGAGGAGGCTGAGTGAGCGCCGAGGGTAGTGCTCTGATCATCTTAAAAGGTCTTATTCATCTTATGGGGAGGAACAGGAAATAATGAGGGGGGCGGAAGCACACAAAAGAAACAAGTTGGAGAATGAGGACACGCTGGCAGGGCCACCCATGTCCAACGAGGCTGAAAGGACATCAGCGCTGCCATTTTGTCGGTATCCAAAAAGCAACAAATAGGAATTCATCGTCCGGTACGTCGTTCAGTACAATAGACTGAGCTAAACTGCTGCGATTTAAAATCTCCTTTGTGACGTTCCTGCGCCCCAGTCTACCGGCTCTCTATTAAAGAGCTGGTGGCGACGTTGCGGTACCTGTTCTGAGCTGTGAAGGTCTCTCTCTGCGGGTGGAGGCCGCTGTATACCACTCGGATCAGGTCATGTTGACAGAGGGCCCCCTCAGTCAATGCCATGGACCCGAGGGTAGAAGGCTACGCAGACAGAAGAAAACAAAAAGGTCCTTTTAACACTCTAGTGGTTATTTCAGGTGGTTGATTGACAGGAATCGGGTCATTTTGTTATAGTTGCGTCATATTACTGCCGGACCTTTACCAAACTTTCACCGCCGACTGAATTTGTCTGGTAGCACTTTACTTTGTTTCCATTTCTACTTGATGGATTACTAAATGTGCAACTACACCATTTGCATTTTCCCTGGATCTGTTAACTCCATGTTCCTATTTGAGTCCCTCCAATTTCCTTGAGGCCTTCTGCACACCTGTACTAACAGGTCAGGGTTTCCTGCAGTGTTTTATAGTCAAAATGAGCCACCTCAGCGGTCATAGCGTGATGGAAGAGAATACATGTCAATGGAATTGAAGAGTAACCTTTTCACAAATGAGGTAGCTCTATTGAGTCAGGCACCTAAGCACCACTAAGCGGATCATGAAATGAGATTCATCAGCAACACAGAGGCTTAACTATTTCATAGGCATTTCAATTCTAAGACAGCCTTTTTATTGGGATTTTATTATATAATCAAAAAAGGCAATGGGTATATAGAGAATTAAAAGCAATCGGACAAGCAAACCTGCTCTCTTTCTGTCATGGACAGAATTGGAAGAGGAAGCAGTAAAAAAAAAAAAAAAGGAACTAATGGCCGAAACTAATGAGGAAACGCTACATTGTATGGGAGGATGGATGTATTCACAGAGACGGACTAGCGTGCATGCTAATGCTGCAGGCCTGGCTGATAAGGCCCTGTGATGTGTAGAGCCGTACTACAAGGGTGCATGCTGTCATTCACGCCCCCCCCCTCCCCTCTATGAATTCTTCATTCTCACAGCGTGGAGGAAAGAGCCTGTGAAGCTTGTAATTACAGAAATAAATCACCCTCAGCGCATGCTGTAGTCTCATCAACACTCCTTAACACACACACACACAAACACATACACATTAAGACATCAAATGATATGAAAATAAACTGTACACAACGTATGCCTTTTCTGTCAGACTTATGAGGTCCAGGCCACAAACAGTTTGTTATGGGTTGAAAAATATCATGTTTTCGTTCTCCCTGGGTAGCAGGAAAAAAAGGCCGACGAGAGACACTGCTTCTTTCTTCCCTTGGTAAATAGTACTAGTTCAGCATGTCCTGTTAAACACCTAATGAATTCCATCCATCCATCCATCTTCAACCGCTTATCCGGGTTCGGGTCGCGGGGGCAACAGCTCCAGCAGGGGACCCCAAACTTCCCTTTCCCGGGCCACATCTACCAGCTCTGACTGGGGGATCCCAAGGCGTTCCCAGGCCAGTGCAGAGATATAATCTCTCCACCTAGTCCTGGGTCTTCCCCGGGGCCTCTTCCCAGCTGGCCGTGCCTGAAACACCTCCCTAGGGAGGCGCCCAGGGGGCATCCTCACCAGATGCCCAAACCACCTCAACTGGCTCCTTTCGACGCAAAGGAGCAGCGGCTCTACTCCGAGCTCCTCGCGAATGGCTGAGCTTCTCACCCTATCCCTAAGGGAGACGCCAGCCACTCTCCTGAGGAAACCCATTTCGGCCGCTTGTACCCGTGACCTAGTTCTTTCGGTCATGACCCATCCTTCATGACCATAGGTGAGGGTAGGAACGAAGATTGACCGGTAGATCGAGAGCTTTGCCTTCCGGCTCAGCTCTCTTTTCGTCACAACGGTGCGGTACAGCGAGTGCAATACCGCCCCCGCTGCTCCGATTCTCCGGCCAAACTCACACTCCATCTTCCCCTCACTCGTGAACAAGACCCCGAGGTACTTGAACTCCTTCACTTGGGGTAAGGACACATTCCCTACCTGGAGTAGGCAATCCATCGGTTTCCTGCTGAGAACCATGGCCTCAGATTTAGAGGTGCTAATCCTCATCCCGACCGCTTCACACTCGACTGCGAAACGCTCCAGTGAGAGTTGGAGGTCACAGACGGAAGATGCCATCAGGACCACATCATCTGCAAAAAGCAGCGATGAGATCCGCAGCCCCCCGAACTGTAGACCCTCCTCCCCCCGACTACGCCTCGATATCCTGTCCATGAAGACCACAAACAAGATTGGTGACAAGGCGCAGCCCTGGCGAAGGCCAACCCCCACCGGAAACGCCTTCGACTTACTGCCGAGCACCCGAACACAGCTCTCGCTTTGGGCGTACAAGGATTGGATGGCCCCAAGCAAGGACCCCCTCACCCCGTACTCCCGCAGCACCTCCCACAGTATCTCTCGGGGGACCCGGTCATACGCCTTCTCCAAGTCCACAAAACACATGTAGACTGGTTGAGCATACTCCCAAGCCCCCTCTATGATCCTGGAAAGAGTGAAGAGCTGGTCCGTTGTTCCACGACCAGGACGAAAACCGCATTGTTCCTCTTCAATCCTTGGTTCGACTATCGGCCGAACCCTCCTTTCCAGCACCTTAGAGTAGACTTTACCCGGGAGGCTGAGTAGTGTGATACCCCTGTAATTGGCACACACTCTCTGGTCCCCCTTTTTAAAGAGGGGTACCACCACCCCGATCTGCCACTCTTTTGGCACTGTCCCAGACTTCCACGCAATGTTGAAGAGGCGTGTCATCCAAGACAACCCCCCAACACCCATTGCTTTTAGCATCTCTGGACGGATCTCATCAATCCCCGGGGCTTTGCCACTGCGGAGTTGTTTGACTACCTCAGTGACTTCCACCAGGCTAATTGACGATGATCCCTCCTCCGCCTCCAGCTCCGCCTCCACCAAAGAGGGCGTAGTAGTTGGATTCAGGAGTTCCTCAAAGTGTTCCTTCCACCGCCCGATAACCTCCTCAGTCGCGGTCAACAGGGTCCCATCCTTACTGTACACAGCTTGGATGGTTCCCCGTTTCCCCCTCCTGAGGTGCCGGATGGTCTTCCAAAAACACTTTGGTGCCGACCGAAAGTCCTTCTCCATAGTTACCCCGAACTCCTCCCATACTCGCTGCTTTGCCTCCATCACGGCAGAGGCTGCTGCCCTTCGAGCCTGTCGGTACACTGCAACTGCCTCTGGAGTCCCACCGGATATCATAACCCGGAAGGCCTCCTTCTTCAGTCGGACGGCTTCCCTGACCACCGGTGTCCACCACGGAGTTCGAGGGTTACCGCCCCTTGATGCACCTAAGACCTTGAGGCCACAACTCACCGCCGCGGCTTCAGCAATGGAGGTTTTGAACATAGACCACTCTGGTTCAATGTCCCCTACCTCCACAGGAATGTGAGAGAAGCTCCGCCGGAGGTGTGAGTTGAAAATCTTTTGGACCGGGGCCTCCTCCAGACGTTCCCAGTTCACCCTCACTACACGCTTGGGTTTACCGGGTCTGTCCCGAGTCTTCCCCCATCCTCTGACCCAGCTCACAACCAGATGGTGATCAGTTGACAGCTCTGCCCCTCTCTTTACCCGAGTGTCCAGAACATGCGGCCTCAGATCAGACGATACGATTACAAAATCGATCATTGATCTTTGGCCTAGGGTGCTCTGGTACCACGTACACTTATGAACATCCTTATGTTCGAACATGGTGTTTGTTATGGACAATCCGTGACTAGCACAGAAGTCCAGTAACAAACACCCGCTCGGGTTCAGATCAGGGAGGCCATTCCTCCCAATCACGCCTCTCCAGTTATCTCCATCGTCGCCCACGTGCGCATTGAAGTCTCCCAGTAGGACTATGGAGTCCCCTACAGGAGCCCCATGCAGGACTCCATTCAGGGTCTCCAAAAAGGCTGAATACTCTGAGCTGCTGTTTGGTGCATATGCACAGACAACAGTCAGAGTTTTCCCCCCCACCACCCGAAGGCGTAGGGAGGCGACCCTTTTGTCCACTGGGGTAAACTCCAATGTAGCAGCACTCAGCCGGGGACTTATGAGTATCCCCACACCCGCCTGGCGCCTCACACCATGGGCCACTCCGGAGTAGAATAGAGTCCACCCCCTATCCAGGAGTTTGGTTCCAGAGCCGAGGCTGTGCGTAGAGGTAAGCCCCACCAGATCCAACTGATAACGCTCCACCTCCCGCACAAGCTCCGGCTCCTTCCCCCCCAGAGAGGTTACGTTCCACGTCCCCAGAGCCAGCATCTGCCGCCCAGGTCTGTTCCGTCTAGACCCCCCACTGTCACTGCCACCCTTGTACCTTGTAATGAATTCCAGTCAAACACAAAAGTCAATACTGCGCCCTGTTTTTAGCAGTCAGGGCAGAAGCAGTCAGGGCAGAAGTTGGGGTATATATGAACTGTGAGGCAGGGTGAGCGAAGGGGACGATGGAGTAGTTTCTTTTCAGTCAGACACACAGTGACCCCTTAAAAACACACACAGATGGAAATGCCCCAAAGGGAAGGTTAATGAAAGAGGAGGTGTCATCTTCCAAAAAGCCAGTTATAAATACAAGTCTCTATAACCGGTCAGAGAACAGAAGCAGCCAAAGCGACACGAGAGGTGGATGGTACCTACCTCGTGATATATCGACGGTTTGGACAGCGAAGGGATTGTGAAGGAGAGGAGCCGGCTGTTGCCATCTTTGTCAACGATCTCCTGCAAAAACCAAAGGGAGGGGGGAAGGGACGGAGAAGCAGTGTCATTTACCAGGAGTCATTAAATGCCCGATTTGAAATCAGATTTCTGCCTCTGTGCACTTAACCCGGTTAAGCCCTCCTCTGTGGACCGGGAGGGGAGGGGGCATTTAGCAGCGTACAGATGACTGTCCGCGGTCCCTCGCGCCGCTGAGCCGGTGTTAAGACACTTTTTTCTCTGGTGCGTGTTGTTGACTCGGGCAGATTAAATGTCACTGCCTGCACCCACGCCTCTCAATTGCAATTTCACACTTTGATGCTCAAAAAATGCCACTGAGAGGCAAGGCAATATTCAATGTTTTCTGTGAGTATAGCACACCTCAGTTATACCCCTATACATTATGGGAGAGTTGTGGATTATATCCTATTTGACATATCAATTATCATTAAATGAGAAAAATTGTGCAATTCTTTTTCCACATGCGCTAATTAAAGCAGACAGATTTGTATTTGCTGACTTTGTGCAGGTAACAAACTCCACATATCCATCAACCCATAAAGGTGGGGTTATGGAATGTGGTCCCATAAAGGCTTTATCCTTTCCTCTGAACAATCAGTTCAGGCCGATTCAGCCCTTCTCTACCTGATGGCATGTTTCTGAATACCTGATGGGACTGCTGAGAGCCAAGCTTTTTATCAGAGCTCAGTCATCAATGAGAGGAGTCTATGAGCATGTGTGTGTGTGTGTGTGTGTGTGTGTGTGTGTGTGTATCGACGCAGAGGAATAAATTATGCATGGTTTGTACCTTTAGTGGTGCTGGCTGACATGGAGCTCTAGATCTCAAGCTCTTAGCCCATTTTCCCGAGGGTGTTTCTTGGTGATGCAATCTCTCCTGGGTCTAACCGCTAACCGGTTGTTTTCACTGGAGCCCGTCTTTAGTATCAACAGATGGAGAGCCTCACTAATGTCCTACCTGTATTTGCTCTCAGCGTTAACAAAGAGGTCATCGTATGGGTTTCGAAGCGAGGCACGGTCTTTCCTCTGAAAAATATAACTACCTACATTCTTTCATATTGACCAGTAAAAAAAGGTGTATACTATTATGCCGTCCTCAAAATGTGATGAATCACTCTCTATGCCAGACCTGGGCATTGTACGGCCCAAATTTGGCCCGCGGGATGATTCTGACCGGCCTGCGAAAGACTACATGATTTAGAAAAAAAAACATTTTCTAACTAAAATCGCATTGCTTTTATTTTGAAGCCCATTTATTCTCACGGTGCACATCAACTGTGCATGTGAAATGCGTGTGATTGACAACCTGTCTCCCCTCCGGGTCACCCCTGAACTCTCTACCTTCTGTTTCAAACAAAAATGGACTACCATTTCTTTCTTTAAGGAAGTCAAAGGTAAACCTGTGTGTTTGGTTTGTGGGGAGCATGTCGCCGTGTTTAAAGAGTACAATTTGAAACGGCTTTACGAGACCAAACATGGCGATAAATACAAAAACTTGACTGATGCCGAACGAGCGCGGATCAACGGATTTACTAGAAAAGCTAGAAAAACAACACGGCTGTTTTACAAAGCTGCATGCAGCCAGAGATGCAGCGACCAGAACCAGCTTTGTGATAGGCCACAAAATCGCCCAGAACACTAAGCCATTCTCTGAGGGGCAGTTTGTGAAAGAGTGCGTGGTCGAGTCTGCAGCACTGCTGCCCAGAGAAAAAAGAAGCATTTAAAACATCCCGCGGTCCCGCCGCACCGTGACGAGGAGGGTGGAGGACATCGCGGAGAATCTGGAGTTTCAGCTGCAAGGCGAAGTGTGAAGCTCCAACTTTTCTCTTTGGCTTTGGATGAGAGCTGTGACGTCCGTCACACGGCCCAGCTGCTCATATCTCCCCGGTGGATGACAAGCGACTTCAAGCTTACGGAAGAGCTGGCAGCAATGCGGCCAATGAAAGGAACCACAACGGGGAGTGATCTGTTCACCGAGGTAAACGCATGCATGGACAAACCGGGACTCTAATGGGACAGACTGGCAGGGGTCACCAAGGATGGATGTCCAAATTTGACTGGGAAGAATGTTGGGCTTTTGAGAAGAATGAAAGATAAAGCGAGTGAACTCACCGCAGAGCAGAAATTGGTGTTCATACATTGTGTTATTCATCAGCAAGCGTTGTGTAAGTCAGTGCTTAAACTTAGGCATGTGGTTGATGTTGTTACTTCAACAGTTAATTTCATCGGAGCGCGAGCATTGAATCACAGGCAGTTTGTTTCACTATTGGAGGAGCAAGAGAGCGAACATGGTGATGTCCGGTACCACACAGCTGTCACATGGCTCAGTCTGGGCAAAGTGCTAAAAAGGTTTTGAGTTCTGAAATCAGAGATAAAAGAGTTTTGTGAGATGAAAGACAAAACCATCCCAGAGCTGTCTGATAAGGACTGGATGGCAGATTGAACATTTGCTGTTGATGTGACTGCAGTGATGAATGAACTGAACACACAGCTGCAGGGCGAGGGCCTTTTTGCTCATGAAATGCATATCCATGTGAAAGCCTTCATGACAAATTCATTTCAAGGCAACTAGGCAGCAGCAATCTCAAACATGTGAAAACCCTGAAAGAAGTCAAACATCATCTGATCACCGGCACCGACTGATGATGTGATGTCTTTAGAAAGCTTAGAAAATCCTTGTTTCAATAGTATATGAAACTCAAAATGCCCTTTGTTATTAATGTGACTAAAAATGAGTCAAATATTTCACATTTTGTTAATTATATTTGAATAAATTATACTTTTGAAAGCTAACCTCACCTTTGAATTGCCAATTAATAACATACACTCTTACCAGCGGTCAAAACAATGCCATTTACTGCTTTTAATATAGAAAAAAATGTATATTATGCATAATTGAGTTCGGCATTTTGGCCTGGCCCTCCAAAATATTTTCAGTTTCTCATTTGGCCCCCTGGGAAAAATAATTGCCCACCCCTGCTCTATGCAGAGCGGAGTCCCGTCTTTGTGGTGATACATAAACAGCCACAGCGTCCCGGTGAGTCAATTATCACATGTGTTTGAACAGTTAAGTTCAACTTCAGGAATTCGGACAGCGAGGCCCTGCCGGCTGGCCATCACTATAAACAGGTGGATAACAAGGGTGTGATTCACCATAAAAACATTCATGCCAGCCAGCGGCTTTCAATTGATTGCCTCAAATGTATATATTGTTCAAGGTCTTTCATCCCCCCCGCCCCCTCTCTGACGCCCCTCTCTAGACACCCACCAGGTTATAGATGCCCAGCAGGAGGGCTTCAATGCACCCGTTGCTCTGGCGATCCCTGCTGGCTGTGACGCGCAGATATACCCACACCAGCTCAGGCAGGAACTGCAGGGTGAAGCGGCGAAGGCGGTCCTCAGAGCTCCGGTACAACTCGAACAGTTGGTGGCAGACAGGCTCCAGCAGCTGAATACAGGAGAGAGGGTGGTCGGGGGGTGAGCTAGTGGATATAGAAGATTAATAAAGTGAAAATGAACATAGGCTTGCGGTGACATATGCAAAGCCTTAGCTAAAAGCTTTCTGAAACACATGGAGACGGTGTCTGTGCTTCACAGCTTATTTCAAAACACAAATGACATGAATGTGCGTTAATCGCAGTAGACACGCTGGGACGGATGGAGGGAGTTTCGCCGCTCGTCAATAGAGGGGATAAATGGGTACAATGGAAGACTAGTCTGATGTACACTCAGGAGAGTGAGCAGCTGAGCCAATAGGTTTCAACGGTTCAGGGATCAGTGCACTTCGTGTGTGATGGACTGTGGCTGACCCTGAAATAAGCAGCAACTCATTAATGAACTTGGCAAGGCATTTGGCACTCCATGTCACCAGGGGAAAGCAACAGCAAAGCACACTTTGTAACATCTATATTTTCCCATCTCTAACCATTAATGGGATCGTGAAGCCAGATTGAAGAGGCTAATGGAATCTAGACCCCTGTTGCTCGTTCCCTCAAATTTGACCTTAGAAGAGTGAAAAAGAGGGGTGAAGGGAATTCACTGACTGTATCAGTAAAGTGAAATGAAGGTCCTGTCTCGGAGTGCCGCGGGCCTTTGGTAAGGGATGGTGTCATTAGCGCCTTTAAATGACAAAACACTTCTAGCGTGAGTGAACAGCAAAGTGTTTTTGTGTCCCAGCACGCTTAATATTAAACTACGGTAGGTTTGTGACTAAGTCGGTTCTTTATAATGCATCTCTGTTTGTACCTTCTATTATTCATGTATCTTTCCAGTATGGGCAGCCTGTCTGAGTGCTCTCTGTCTGTGTGTGTGTGTGCATAGAGAACACGCAGTGCGGCTGGCATCGGGGCGCTCGTTCATCATACTTTTGTGCTCTTGTTTTGATGCGCTCGTGTAGTTCGGGGACACACCCGTGTGTCGGTTTCTCACTCACTGCCAACTAGGACTACTTCATCAGAGTCACGACAGACAGAGCTATAAAAAGCCACACTCTGGGTCTCTCCGTGTGGCCTCTCACCTCGCTGTTGGGGTCCTGGATGACTCTGTAGAGAGCCGTCACCAGGGTCTTCTTCAGATGAAGGCTGCCAGCGTAGCTGGGAATGTTCTTTTCTGGTAAGGACTGGAGCAGAGGAAAAAGTTAGTTTGTTGAGCAATTGCACATTTTTACAGATTGGTGCGATATGCAGTACATCATTGCCCCTTGCATCTCTCTGACTAGTCATTATAATATGTAGTGGGATCTTCGAAATAATACGCACCCATCTAGGAAATAAGGTCAATGAACAAATGACATTCAGATTGCAGATGGTCCTCTACAATTTAAAGCCAATACACTCAGGAGTTTCCACAAATGTAGCTGCATTATCCTTCTTCGAGTTCGAGTGGGCTTGTGCAGCCTGTGAATGTTGATATCTCCCTCATTACTCCTTCAACAGTTGATTCAGGACATAACACACCATTACAACGAGCCGGGTCACCTCTCCCTGCGTAATACACACTCAAGAGCCCACACAACAGGGTGAAGTAAATTAAGACACTTACTATACCAATCATCATCATGTGGAGTGACAGCGGACATGTTTAGGACCACATAAATGTTATCTACACATCTCAATTCAGTGCAACTGCATTGTGAGATGCCCAACGCCCGCTGACGCCCGCCGCATGGCGCTGAAACCCAAACAGCTAAACTGAATTCAGTCACAATTAAATTGTGCAATTCAGTTCTTTCATGCTGCCACATCTCAAAAAGGTCTAGAGGATTGAGTTTAAAGCATTTTCAGAAATGTGGAGAATGAAAAGAAATCAGCAAATAACAACATTAAGAAACCGGGTGATGATATCTGACAGACTCAGAGTATCCTGGTTTGAAATCCTTTAAATGGTCAAGACTGTATTAGTCTGCAGATGGCAGAGATATCTTCTCCTATCAGCCTAAGTATGGTCATTTTGAGGACAGAACACAATGTGCCTGATCTGCACCGGCTCAAACAATGAGTCATACCAATCCATCTCCCTCACATTCATCATAATCACTCCTTTCTCTCTTGCATTTAGTGCTCTCTCTGCTGCACTGTATTCCAATTCCTTCCTTTTAGCCCTTCTTTCCTGCCTCGATCATTTAAAAAATGTAAATGATGGGTTTACCCATATTTCAGAAATAAATTCGCTTTACGCAGCCCCACATTAACAATGTTGCTTAGAGGTTTTGCTGACTTTTTGTGTGTTTCAGAAACATCCAGAGTATTCCTTCGCGGCTGATTGATGTCAAGTAACACACACGCACGGTTTTAAAAGTTATACTACAGTAGATTTGGTGGTTTAGAGACAAGCTAGTCTATTAAAAATAGAGCTGTGTGTAAAGACGTGCCAGTGGAGCTGGTTACATGTCCTGTGGTCACTGGAGGTGTGATGCACTTCCTCCTGTTTAAGTAAATACTGTTAGTATTTGAAATGTAATGAAATATAAAGCGGAGCCCAACATGGAGATCCTAGAGAGCATTGTACTCAAATCACAAGTAAATCCTGCCAGTAGTAGCAGGTAGCTGAAAGAACAAATTCATGGGTGCAGCCATCAAAAGAAACACGGTTTTATCAGTTGCCACACACACACACACACACAAACTTCGAGGGGAACATTTGATTGACATGATAACAGAGGAATTTACCTTGAATTCTGAGAGCCATTCGTCGACAACACCACGCGCGGAACCCAGCATCTTCCTCAGAGACCCCCCTCCTTGGCTGCCTGGTGGACAGTAGAAAACGACAGAGAGGGGGCGATGGAGAGGGTTAGGAAGAAGAATGAGATAGGAGGAGACAAGGGCGGGTCAGAGGGGAAGAGAAGCAAAGCATACAGTAGAGGAAGAGAAGGAGGGGAACAGCGAGTACTCACTACGCATTTACTATTTTAAAATGACTGCTTTCATTGACTTAATCGTATCATCTACACACTTAAGAAACAGCCGGTGGCTGTATGCACCTCTGAAGTTGGTTTGCAAGGCTCCCAATGAACACAGAAGAAGAGGAATAAGCACAACACACTAACATGTCGTTGCAGGAAAAACAAAAAAAGGGATACAACGCGAGTGTGGAAGCTATGGTGCTGACCACATGGTTACATAAGGAGTTACCTAGGTGACCTCGCCTGTCACCATGGATGAGAGACGCCACGAACATGAGCCACTACAGGACGTCCAATGGGCTTTCCCTCGGTCATTCAAAGCAGAGTCCTTTGTGCATTCTTATTCAAATCCTGTGACCTGGAACCCCACAGAGCAGCTCACCACTGATTAGACCAGCAACGATTTAAAAAAAATATAAAGCTAGAAATGCAAATTTCATAAATAATGACGCACATTTTTAATCCTGGCACATTGGGAGAGATGAGATAACATAAGACAGCTAGTCCCTGGTCTCTTTAGTTATATATATTCTGTTCTCGGCAGGTTCGGCGTTATCTCTGCTCTTATTCTTTATCCAGCAGCTAAAATTAGCTTCAGCCGGTTGACCAGAATTAAAAACATTTTTCCTTCAGACTCCCAATCACATGGAAAATATATCCAATATTAATTATCCCACCAAAAAAAGCCAGCTACGATGGAGGCAGGCGTTTCAGTCAGAGGGTGCTGATTGGTGGATTTAGAGGTGCAGCAGTCACACTCCAGCGACAGTTAGTGAATACAGACTGCAGGCGATATAAGAGACACGATGTGACGAACAACCCGTCACCAAATATTTTTTGAATACAGACTAAGACCGGGTGGCAAAGTCAAGATATTAAAAAGGAGTGAATTTAAATCAAAAAGCACCCCAACCCACAGTAACAGCTACTGCACACAACCGGCAAACTATTAAAAGATAAAGATCGTGACTCCAACCAGAGTAATGTGGGGCCCGTCATGGTCACTCTGAAAACAACATTTTACCGTTCACACGACATGCACGCGGCATGCACACTCAGCGTGCTCCATGTCTTATCTTCAATTATGGAAATGCTTCACGGATACGTCACTGTCGACGACCTCGGCATTACAAGAACGTGTTGCTACTGAAAAAAGAAAACGTGCTCTTTCAGACTGCAGTTTCTTACTTCAGTTTCCCGTGTTCATCCACGGCGACCGTACAGCCTTTGCTCTTTGTGGGGGAAGTTGGCTGGATTAGGGATTAGGATTAACTCAATATTTTCTCATTTCAAAACGAGAAGAGATATCACATAACAGCTCAGCGAAAAGCCTCCGCTGGTGAGGTGTTCTTGTGAGGCTTTGAGACAACTTCCTCTTAGCTTTTTATAGAGTAATAATTGGAAGAGAGCACATACATGCTCGTGTAAGCAATGTGGCTAGTTTGTGGTTACAGGTGCCATTATGTCACAGTGTGAAGGTTTCGAAGGACTGAATTACTCGCTTAAACCAATCTGTAATAAAACGATGGACAGCTCTCTGCAGCCTTTTCAGGCTTATCTGCACAGTTCAAAGTAGGCTTAAGGGAGCAAACTATAATTTTTGCAGTGAAGAGATTGTGTCTGCTGCTCGGAGCAGATGAATATCTGAACAAGTCAAATCTATTTGTGCGAGCAAATCTCTTTAAATTTGAGTGTGTGGATTGAAAGGGCTCCATTTAGTAAGCCTGTTCAGCTTTTCAGGAAAGGCTGACTCAGTCATTTCCTCCGGCTTGTCAAACTGTCAAAGACTCGCTGATGCGAGATTCTCCATTGGCTGGGCAGGCTCTTCAGTTACCATGGGAACTGTAGTCAAATGACTTTAAGGCCACCGCAAACATCCAAGAAAAAGCATAGAAAACATATTGAACAGGGGTGCTGTAAGAGTCGGGTCAAAGATGAGCTTGTACTGTACTGCAATTAATAGCAGAACATGTAAAACACTAATCCTTCAAATTTTGAATTTTCTGCTATTTTGGTTTAATTGCAGCTAAAAGACAAAAAACACTACATGAAAACATCTTTAACAACATTAGGGAAAAACAATCTATCAATGAGATCATTTTATTGTCATTATCGGTTTCTGGCGTAGCAAACCCAATTGTTACGGACAGTTTAAAGACTGATGCACAATGTGGACACTTACCTCGGTGTACCAGAACTCAGATCTCCACTGGGAGAGGCAAATGGTTTTCTGCAGTGTCACACATCTGCCAATCACTGAAGGTCACCTGCAACAAGGAAATACCACTGGTTAACAAAGAGTCGGTCGTCTTTAGAAATTAAAAGCTCAACTTTTTCTAAATGATCCAACTGAGAAATCTAGCTGAGTGTAGTTCTTCTAATCTGCACGAGCTCAAGAAATTTGCTAGATTTAGCGACAAATTCTCCATGCAGGAAACAAGGACTGCCAGCCTGAACGTAAAAAACATCTGCGGGAATCCCCCCCGTTTTAATAATCACTGTTGACTGCTATCGAAGCCAACATATGGTATAATGGACCACCTGGCTAGTTTGGCATTTTGTGGACTTGTAGTAAACCTGTAGTAAACTTCAAACAATGAATCAAAGAATGGTTTTAAATCTGTGATGCTAGTTTTTAAGGAATTAAGAATGGTTTTAAATCTTAATTCCTTAAAAACTAGAAATTCCACTGGCCAAGATGCAGACAGCTTCCTGCATGCATTAGGAGTATTACCAACAACACTCATTTTCTTTCATCACAAAACATGCACTGGTTCAACAACAGCTTCATTTTTCAGAAAGATTATTTTAAGGCATGGTAGGTGGAGTCTATTTGTTGTTGTTGCATGGCAACAGACGGCGGGTCAACTTGTGGTCCTCGCCAGCCAAAAAGGCATCTTGAGGAGCGCGCGCACACACAGACACACACGCACGCCCGACATCACAAAGCATTCCATCTGATGGTAAGCATCTTCAACGGAGCCTCGCGTTGTCTGAAGGACTCAAATGAGCAATTCATCCAAATAACGTCCCGTCCGTCAGGGACGAAGTGGCATTTGTTTTTCCCCAGATAAAGCGTAGTTATTCTGGGTGACTCATACAGGCCGAGGGCAACAGTCTCTCCGGGGTCGAGTAAATACTACAGAGGGAGGGATGAGGGCTGCAGAACACGACACAAACCTCAACATTTTATGTAATATGTGATTCATCATTATGATCAAGTTTTGACAAGGAACATACATTTAGTTCTGTAGGACTTTACTACCCATAACATGTGATCAACGTAATTTGAGGGCCAAATTTCTGCTGAATCACGCCATTGATTGAGGCATCGCTTCTTTTGATATCTCTGGGTATATAATGCCATTATGGGACATGAGCATTGGTGTAATGTAGGGCTTGGATTTATCCGGCTTTCAACTCGCTAATTAGCCCAAAGCAGTCGATCCCTTTCAATATTCTAGTCAATTCATGAATTGATTTAGCAGCAAACGTATTATAGAGTCTGACGGTTGTATTGATATTGCAATAGGAAATGGTTTTTACTGAATACCGTCCACAAATCCATACGGTCAAGACCAGAAAAAATATGATTCAAAAGAGAATGTTTTTCCAAATGTGGTCCCATTGAGCACATCTCTGTAACAGTAGTGAACATAGTAAGCAGGGGGTCTCCACCAATACAGGATCTTAAAGGAGAATAAAAACCATCAGTTCAGCTGAGGTGGATCGATGAGCCGTCTCACTGTTGTTACTAAACACACGTGTCTACACATGCTGGGGTGAGACGTGTCCACTAACAACAGTCCTCCCCAGCCAGCCGCCACTGTGGGCTAAACACGCCACACTCCAAAGCAAAGCTCCCCTTCAGCGGCCGCGCTTCCTCTGTGAAGGACCGGCCTATTGTCCTGTGGGGAGACTCACAGGGGAAAGGAGAGCGCCGGCCCATCCTGTTTACGCACTTCAAAGCCCAAATCGCTATGGCACCGCTGCACACACAGTGCTCAACTGTGTACGAGGTTGTGTTTTTTGTTTGTGGGACGGCACAGTTGACACACACACACACACGCACGCACACTCCTATGTCTGTACAAATTGTGCTAATCTATCAAGCAGATTATGAAATATTCCACTGCATAACTAACAGGTTGAGGGAGCTGAATGAAAGGCCTTTGTATAATCTAAAGCATTAGGAGTCACCGTGGATATGATCATATCATCATATCATGCAAGCACGTCTACAAAACCCCGTCAAGGTGACTTTGGTTACATGTTTTCAACCATCACGGTGCAGAAGCATTCTTTTCTTAGCACATCATACATCATTTCTCATGTTGAACTTATGGGCCAAACCTTTGACGGGATCCACTGATTAATACATAACCATGGACATGGAACCCACATTCCCAATGCTCTCAGAGAGGGAGGGAGGGAACAGTACTGTTCACCGTTTTCATACGGGAACCTCAGCAGCCTCGTGACTCAGTAAGCACTGTATTAGTAAGCTACGCTGTTGAAACATTATTATTACTATAATCCCTTAATGCAATCAGGAACGTCAGGGCTAAAATCAAACAAAAGCAACATTAAAGACGTCGGGGCAGGACTGCGCTGCGAACCGTTCGACGACGCAACAGGCTCAAGTGCTGATAAAAGAACACACAACTTAGCACAACGTGATAGCAACCAGTACTGTGATGTAACCAGTGAGTGCAGGAAGGAGGTGCTTGTCGAGCTCTGGCAGTGCTCATCATTCATTACAGAAGGATGAATCATTCGAGTATCCGTGACCAGGTGACTCATTAAACCAATGCAAACAGCCACAAGGTCACTGCCCTGCAAAGCAGAGGACGACTCAACACCGCGCAAATGGCTTGGTCTCTCCGAGCGGTAGCTGCCGGTTGCCGTGTGATGCCGGTTTCTCACCGTGTGACTTTAGGCCCTGAATTTTAAAACAGTTTTGGACGGACCTGATGACAAAAATAACAGGAAGGATATTAGAATAAATGGAAGCAAAGAAAAGTGGAAAAAGGCCTTGAACAAATATGTCAACATCAACCACCTGGGTTTTCATTTAGAGACACAGTCCGGAGAGCAGGCTAAGGCTTCTGATGAGGCATTCCTAAAATCTAAGATGTATTACACCAGTCAGTCCCGTGGTGTGAAAAACTTGACTTTACCAAAAATGAATGAATCAAAACTGAGCCTGCATCAGTTCCCCTTGGACGCAATACTTTACAGCCAACGTGCAGAAAAAGCTGTAACAACAAATGCTGAAAAGGAAAATCTGCAGACTGTAGGAGGGGTTAATCCATTTGTTTATGGCAATAAAACATTTTATGCTTCCTCCCAATTCAATTTGCTAGAAGCAAAGGCAGACATACATGTGCACTATGGTGAAAATCCAAAATGAAGGAATGCTTTGTGATAATGACACAAGTAACAGATGACTCTAAACCGGCATCAATACATTTAAGAAGAAGTACAACTATTCATACAAATGAATAGTAGAGGTGAGTTTGTTTCCGTCCATATCAACTTCTCCTTTCTGCCCTAAATGAGCAGTGCCGGGTTTCAATCCCTAGTTACAACACTGGGGATTTCTCAAGGTCGACCTAGCTCAGTAAGCCATGAATTATTGAGCTTCAGCTGTGTGCCTTTGCTGTACGGGACACTTCTGACGCTGTCTGTCTTCCTTCAGGTCAGTTTGCTGAGGCCATGACAACATAAATATCCATCTCATGATGGTGTCATAATATACAAAGGTGTTAATATTATCACTGGGAAATATTATCTACGTGCAACCTCTTGCGGTTTCAATAGTGGGATGCTGTTCTCATACAGCCTGTACAAACCGTAGGGGATTTTAGCAGCTTGTACTTTCTAAAATCAGGGCAGTTTGACTCCTTCAATCAGAACGCATGCAAGTACGTTCAGACCGATGAGTGAACCGAAGCGAGACTTCACGTGCTAGAAAGCCAGGATTTCACATGAATCTGGGGCAGGTTCATGACCACTGGGAGTTAGTTACAGTCTGCTGATTTGGACATAAACACATCACACAGCCCAAATGAAAAAAGCAAGCTAAAAAAAACAAAAAAAAACACGCATGCGTGCACTCATTTCACTTGGTCTCTGCCTCAGTGTTCCTGTAACACATTTAGTTTGGCACAAACACACAGTCACGCAGAAATGATACTGGTCCTCTTCTGGTGCACGTATGTTTTGCAGGTAGTCATTCTTTGTGACGTCACACAATCACTGTACACAGACGTACACTTTGCCCCCCCGAGGTGGAGGGATTATCTCTAATACCTGACCGTGATGAACCAGCCGGCTTTAATCTCCATCCCCGACGCCCCTCTCTTTGGTAACGAGAAGCAGCTACTCACCAGCGGAGCAGGCGGTCTGCACGGGAGGCACAACGAGGCTTATTAATAGCAAACACAACACCGTGAAAAACAACCCAATTACTTGTTTTTTTATGCAGAATAATGGCTGACAAAAGGGCAGTGGGGCCACCTCAAAGACGCCAGCCGGCTGAAAAGGACTAGTGGCGAGTAAAGGTCACTGGCTGCAGTCAATGCATCCCAACGCAAATCAATAGTTCTGCCCCTTTGACACGCAAGGACATAGAGAATGCATGAAACATACATACGACGGGTAACAAATACACAAAAAAGGAGAACGGAGCTCACGGCACAGAGGAGAGAGCGAAAGATTGGCTACTCGTTTGCTCCTCGTCTCTCATAGGCCGGCCGAGGGGAACTGAGGCGTACGCACATCCTGGGCTAAAATTAGCTCTGCTGCAGCTGCAGGGACAGACGTGTTGGGATGGGCCCGTGCTGAGAGCGCACACGCACACACACACACACCAATTAGACAGGGCGAGCCACCACAACACAGGTGAATGCCAACAGCATCCTGCATGCTTCCCCTCTGCTCCTCAAACCGACACGTACAAGTGCGTTCAATGCAAATGTCACGGTCATGTGTGTACAAACACACACACACACACCTCAATGATGGGATCAAGGAGGAACAGATTTTACAGGCATTTGGTGTGTGATAAAATACTTGTGTGCACAACACTGTGTCACCATAAGTCAGGGATGTATGGACTGCTGTAAAGACCTGAGGAGTCCAGACTCGACAAAGTAAAAACTTCACACTTGATCTCTAATGTTGAAAGCGTGTCAGAGGAGTGTGTCAATTGTCGTTAGAAGACAGGAGTAAACATTACCGAGGGGAACTGAGGCGTACGCACACTGGTCTAATAAGGCACCACCCCGGTGCAGAGCGGTGAAGCATTGTGGGCACAAGTGGGGATTCCAAGCAGGACTATAATCCTGTTTTGCATACGTTTGTTCAGGTGTATTTAAGGGACACTGACTCATGAGGTGGACAGGACTATTTATTCTATTAAAGCAGTCACAAGTTCACCCGCCGACAGCTCACACTGGAGACACATGACTACCAATTCCACAGTATTTAGCACGCCTGCTGACCCCACCCTCCATTACGGCTGCTGCGCGGCATAATGGAGGGTGGGGGCTGCTCAGCGTTTAGCTTTACTGCGAAGAAACGGAGAGGGGAAAATGCTTTACTGATATATAAGCTGCTCAGCGGCCTTCTGGCAAAAAGGGGCCACCTCGAGCGTTTCGGGACATACCAAGAACACACAGACCGCAGTTTTGGCTCCACGTTCCCCTGTGCGGCAGGCGCAGACAGATGACACCGGCCGGACAGTGGGGGAGGTTTTGAGAGTAACTCGGTCAATTAGTAGAACTCGTGGAGTGGCTGGACTTCAGCTTGCCGAGGGAACACTCGAGTACTTTCACAGCATGATGCGGCAAAAGAAGCGCCCACTTTTCCTTCCCTGCCCCCCCAACCGCGCCGATGACTGTAAATTGCATTTAGCTCAACAGCAGGATTATTCATTTCCTTTTGACACAAGTCGCCGTTGGCTGTTCGAATTAGCATAATTCAAACTGCTCAACGTGGTGGGAACTTTACTTTGGCAGAGAACAGTCTTTAATAACAAACATGCCTCGTTAAAAGACAATTTATGTGAAAAAAAATGAATTAAAATAAATTGCAGGCCTCCAGAATCTCATGAAAGGAGTCACTGCTCTCCTGTCGCAGTGAACCGAACACTTTGTTGACTTGGTTCTGTTGGTCAATTGCCAAAATCTAGTTTTTGCTGTTGGACTAAAAAGTTACTTTTAGCCATAAGGTAGCGTGTGACGGTTTCAAACATGGCCTGTCAATAATCCATAAACTGAAAGGTTACAAAAGAAAAAAAACAAAAACAAGACTGCACTGTGAACGGACCTCTCCGGTTGTGTTTTATCTGCTTACCAAGAGAGCAAACACTGGATTCTAATGAAATTGATTAGATTTGACTTTTTTTCCCATCTGCTCCTGTCAGATAGTAGGCAGGCTAACATTCGCTATCTGCTGACATCAGTCTGGTTTTGAGGAACCACAAACAATTGAAGAATCAGAATGTTGATTTTTTCTCCTTCTATTGAAACTAATTATTAAGATGATGTTTCTGCTCTACCTAATTGCAGCATCTTATACCAATAATCCTTTGCTGGGAAATCGTCTGTAGTTTAACATGCATTATCAATATGTTTACTTTCAACCCCACCAGGTATGAGCCTCACTGCACACCATGTATAATTTTGAAAAATGATTTTAAAAAGGGGGCAAAGGGCTGAGAGAGCTGCTCACCAACATTCACTGACTTCGGATTAGAGGGCATTAACATTTTTTTAATATGAAATTCATAACATAGATTAGTTCCAACCAGTAAGCCAATGTCAGCAAGGTGTCATTTTATCCATATTAACTTCAGCATTGATGAGTTTCATCACATTACGGATATTTAATTTAATTTACAGCTCGAGAAGATATGTCCACATGTGCACTACCTCCAATAACATTTATCTTAGCTCCTCATCAACTGATTGGGCTCGAACATATGAGGTAAACAAACTATTCACCACGTGTGCTCCAGAGCGCTGGGTTGAAGGTCGCCTAACCGACCCACCAACACAGTCCCGCACTGACCGCGTAGCTCGCACTCTGACAGGAAGTGAAGGAGGTGAGAGTCTCCAGCCAGCGACCGGTCCCTCTGTCCAGCAGAACAATAGCAAAGCCTTTGGCCGCTACCATGGAAACCAGGCATCCCCCTCCCCCCGTAGGGCTAATACGGTTAATCTAACCCAAACGAAAACATTCACACGTGTCCAGCAAACCAGCGCCGCCATCGTGGCAGCACAGGCCACTCGTGCAAGCAAACACACGTCCCGATGTCGATCACAAGAAGTTGTATAAGTTACCAAAGAGGTTATTGGTTAAAAAGCAAAGATGTCATTTGGGGATTTCCTATCTTAAGATAATTTGACATTTTGTACTTTCATTAGCCCACATGTGAGTGACAATAAAAAGGTGTTTTAAGAACTGTATCCATCCTCAAATACCCCAAATTTCTGCTTCATGCAGCCTCTGCCCTCAAAAAGTATAACTACTTTTGTTGTGATTTCTTAGCACACGTTTTAACGCTGCAAATGCAGCAGCTAAATCCTGTGACTTCTGCAACAAAACTACAGTTTTGTTAATCAAGTTAGTTCTATTCACAAACATGGTTTTATTAATTTTAAAGAGAATAATAACTCAATTGAAAATGTGATGCTATTCATTTGCATGACACGGAACTGAATAGATATGGGTGGACAAAACTAGCAAAATTGTGCAAAACTACAAGTCCCTTTTACATTGAACACCCCCGCCCCCTCAAAAAATCTGCTTAATTGACAATGAAATCCCAGTTTGCAGCAGACATGTATTGTATTTTTGCAGAATTTACCATATGTAAATAAATCCTGCGATTTCCAAAACATGCTTGCATTCAAGTTTTGAAAGAATTGATTAATTTACAAACTGAATACACACATTATGCTGCTCCGCCTCTCCGGAGCCCCCACAGGAAAAGCATGAACTCGTGTTTGATTCACAGAGAGAATCTACATCCTGCAGTCAGACCTCGTACCTGGAAGCATGCGGTGAGTCAGCAGCACCACAGCTCTCTCTGCGTGCCCTCCACATATCCAGCTGATTCTCAACACCGTCTGCACACCGCCGCAATGACTTTGTGACTCATTAGTTACTGCAATCAACTTAAGAAACGCACAATTTCCAATCTCTCCGGGGCGGGGGGGGGAGGGTGGGTGACAATGTTGATGAGTCCTGTTTGTTTGGCCTCAACAAAAGGGACAACGACAAACAAACATGACTACACAGAGTTCTACTACTGGAATGGAGAGGAAGGACGGGAGGGCTGGCTGCCTGTGTGATCCTCTGGGTCTGTGGGAGAGAGTGCAGTGGAAAATAGTTCCCATTGCTAATCCATGGCAAGCTAATTACAGCTTTGATCCGTGTGTGTGCATGCCCATGGGGGTGGGGATGGGAGGGTATCATACTCTGGGGCTGATTGCACTCACGGATAGATGTGTTTTGGTTTGGGGACGTCTCATAAGCTCACAGCTGCTGCTGACATGTGCACCGAAAAACGACTTGTGTCGTGCATCATAAGACTCAAAGCTCATAAGAGTTGGCCTCACCTTCTAGTGAATCGGCTTCAAAATGGTTCGGCAACCGCATTAGAAGAAACCTCAACTCCTGGAGAAAGGAACGAAGATAAAGTGTGCAAATGGAGGTTCTATGTTAAATAGGCCAGAGCTCTGATGACAGCAGAGTCCCAAAACACATAATGGCATGTGTGAAAGAGCATCAAAGGAGGAGGAGGAGGATGTTTCAGGGTAAGCAGCAGATGGCATTGGAATTATCTGTATCTTCAACTCTATTATTTTTGCCAAAGATGATGCCGATATTTGAGGGGTAGTTTACTTATCACCAAAAATCACACTAAGCAGAATTTATTTTTTATCAACCAATGTTTCTGAAAACCAACACTGCAAGGGGCCAAGTCAGCAAATTGGCATAAGTAAAAAAAAAACTCAAGATCAATTGTGATGTTAGAAAGTGGACCACGGGTCAGACTTAAAACACTGGGAGCATGAATGAAGGTAAGAGCAGGGTGCATGGACAAACCGCTCCCTCGACGAGGCATCGGATGAGATGGTACCCAAAAAGTTATACAACAATCTACAGGCGCGTAAAATCCCACACTTCCGTTCACGATTTCAAAATAAACGCAACGTCCTTCGAGAAGGCAACTTGAGGAGCCACCGCTCTTCGCTTCATGTTCCTTTACATAACGTGCATATGTCTGGATGAAGTGTGCGGGGACTGACCTTAAATGACAACCGTTCACCTTTACAACCATAACAGCAGCTAGCTAACGCACCATCTGGCCGTTTCTACGCAGCTCGTTCTTTTTTTCTTTCTTTAAAAATGGTATAAACTGCCCACCGGTTAACGTTCGTTACAAACCCAACTGCCACGACAGCCCGTATGCTGGACGTCAACGTTAGCTGCCTTTAGCTCGTCCTGGCATGCCGTTAGCCTTCAGCAACCGAGGCAGCCTCCTCGTTTCTCACTAGTCGTGACCAGGCCGGGAAAAAAAAGGAAAAAAACAAGCCCAGCTGAGTGCCGGGTGGCCGGCTCTGGCACAGGCGCGTCCACCCCGCGGTCCTTGGCTTAAAGACGGGGTAACGGTCGTCACTGAGGGGGGGGGCTAGCATCGTGGCGAAGGATGTTCCGAAGTCAGCGGCAGCTAGTGACTGCGACTTTACCTGAGAAAATCATGAATGCCTTTTTTCCCCCCAACCAACGTCCAGGTGAACAGAATGCTTACCGGGACCGGAGCCGCATACGCTGTGTCGCGGTGACTCGAATTGGTGGAAGTCAGGGAGATGTTTGCTCAGGGCGGTCACCCAGGTCGAGTGCCTCTCTTATAAATGGCTCCTCTCTCGCGCGCGCGCTACCTCTCTCTCCCTTTTTCTCTCTCTCTCTCTCTCTCTCTCGGCCGGGCTACACCTCTGCGCGATCTCTCCTCGCCGCAATGGTGCTGAACCACAGCGCGACGTGGTTGGTGCGAGTCCCCGCGCGCTTTGGGAGGCGGAACAACCGAGGGACCTACAGGGAGCGGTGCCTTCATGGTTGTTGGGAAAACTCAGCACCCATATTCGAGATGCGTTGCTTCGCTGTTTAAAAAAACAAAAAGAGAGCAAAGAAGGAACTTTCACATGACAAAATGCTTTTTTTTCTCCCATCCCATTCACTCAATGAATATAATTTGATAACAGATGTGTTTGTGATTTGGTATTAATTTGGTATTACTTATTTCTGTGGTTTTATCATATTGTTTGCTGCTTTCCAATACGACACCTCTATTGATTTTATGTATGGTTTACTAACGGGAAGATAATTAACAAACAGTTAATACAAACATATATTGGGTTGACAGGTTGTGAACTATTCTCTTGATTGCGTTCATCTTTTCAAGTTGGTATTAGCAGTTCTAAATACATTCATTGATTGCGTTTTTCAGTGAACCATCGTATACATCTTAAACGTTTTTAATAAACGGGCTGAATCAATCAAGTCTGTAGTTTAAAGTATACATTCTCACTGAATGGATTTTGTTTCGCAGCAACGCGTGCCCCTTTAAGATTGAGATATTATCGAAACACTGCCGCCCTTTTTGCTTTCACTTTTGGTCTACGTATTCGTCGCTTGTGGAATTTTAAAAAAAGAAGAAGTATTACAATATTATTGTACACCTATTTCTTGATCAATGGGTTTTTGGTAAACCGGTGCTAGTAGATAGTGAAGTTGGGTCAGAGGGGATTTCTGTTTAAATGCGTCAGCGGGTACTTCCCCGAAGCGGGTCTTGGCGCGTCATGCTTTGCTCTTATATACATAGTTCAAATTCTTCTCTTCTGGTTGTTACTTTGATGTCGACGGCATGAGGTATCGTATTCCTGTGAATAATCTGATCGGCTTGTACTTTTTCAATAAAGGATTGTTCGGAACTAACACTGTATTTAACATGACCCAGTTTTCAGGCATTCCATGTCGACAAAAGATCAACTGTCAACCACTGCATCCGTCCGCATTGCCGTTAAAGACACTGGATCACCAGCCTCTGCACTTCTCTTAACAAAAAAAACGATGGCTCTTCCGGACCAATTTCAACTTCAAGCCATTCAACAAACCGCCGAGGCTCTGGACGGCCGTGAACGCAGCAGGCTCTTCTACCTGTGTGGCGTCACAGACGTGGACAACACAGCGGGGTGCGTGGAGGACGTGCTGAAGTCCAGGGTGATCCGCCACCAGGGGGAGGACCAGTTCCTCCCAGAGCTGTTGCTGCAGTTGGGACGTTTTGATATCTTGAAGGAGGTGTATAAAACCAGCAGGGACGAAGTGGAGAAGGCTTTGACTCACAGGAGGGTTCTGCCAAGTTTCAAGTAAGAGGTGTCTCTTCTCGAGGTGTGAGTCATACATGTTACCTTCCAGTTGGATGTGCTCATGTTCCTAACGTGATGATTTCCCTCACTATAGAGTGTTGATGGCTAACATAAATGAGGATATGGCCAAAGAAGATCTGAACAGTGTGAAATTCCTGTTGGGCCAAACGTTGTCCCGTGAGAAGATGGAAAATGCACAGGTGAAAGTGAAAAAAGTTTTGTTTTCACTTCCCATTTTGTGTGGGGAAAAAAAGCTGAAATACGAACATCAACTTCAACTTCCCCCTTTTTCCATTGACAGAGTTTCCTTGATGTGATCATTGAGCTTGAGAAGCTGGACATAGTTTCACCTGGAAGAGTCGACTTGGTTGAAGAATGTTTGAGAAATATTGGGAGGGTCGACCTTGCCAAAAAAGTGACTGCATACAAGATGTCGGGTGAGATTTTCCCTTTTCCTGTATGAATGACTCAAACCCACGTTGACAAAACGTGAAAGAAAAGGGGCTTTTGACATTTATTCCGTTTATTTCATGTGAAGAATGGAATGTTTCCACATTCTTTAAATAGAAATACGTTGAAAACTAGAGCTGAGAATGAATATCTTTGTGTCTTTTAGAACACGGAAATGGTCAATGACGCTTATAAAGAAGAGAAAAATATGTAGTTCCTAAAGTAAAAACGTGTTTTATACGGAACAGAAACCAATTATAAAAGCTGCTTACACAACACATGGTCCAGACTGTATTCTGATGATGAAAAGATTCAATAAAAAGACAAAGTTGATCTTGTTCATTGATACCAGCATAACACCCAATATACTGTTAAGGTACCTCAGGTAAACACACAGATGGATTTGACTTCTGAGCACATTCATCATTTCAGGACTAAACTTTATATACATCAAACCAAATGTTAAAAGTTTCAGCTTTTTACCTTCTAAAAGGTGGTTTTAGGATAAAGATCAATCGTACAGGACTTAGAATCACACATTATTCTGTGTTTTGTATTCACTTGTATTCTTCTTACAGCTGTGCCATCTGAAGGGCATTCGTCTCCACAGCAGAGACACAGAGCTCCCGTGAGTGGTCTTCAAAAGCTATTCAACATGTGTCATTTCTTCTCTCTGTTATCCAACTAACACTTTTCATAAAACGTATCCTCCTTAGTGTCCTTCCCCCACTCCAAATTGTTCCCCTTGTCTACAGCAAACGTTACGAGCACACCCCATCCACATAGGTAAGACATACAAGCAAATGTCAGCCACTTTAAAATACATGAAAATACCAGATATACATGAAAAAGAAAATACCTCTTTAGATACATTGGAACAGGCACACAAAAATATCATTTCAAATTTTAGTTAGACTGTAAACGGTTGGAAAGCCCCGTGTATTTCACTTTGATATTCATAACACGGTATTAATCTTTGTCACCAGCCACAGAAAACTTAACGGCGCCTGTCTACAGTGAGCAGGTAAGGTCTTCCCCCGCTATCGGCGCCGTTTTCCCCCTGTGTGTTTAATTGGTAAATTGCATTCATAAAACAGTTTTTTGGTTGTTCCTTTGCCCTACAGAGTCAAATGGAGTTCTACAAATGTAACACTAATCCCAGAGGAGTTTGTGTTATCATAGACTGCGTGGGAAATGATGGAGGTGAGACACAAAACACTTTTCAGTGTTCAGTGCTGGAATAAATATTCACTTACTTCACTGAAATACCAACACACAAAGCAGATGTTTGTTGTTTTGTCTTTGCACTGTTGTTTGGTTAGTTCATTTGATGTACTATTATTAATGACGCAAATTCTGACCAAAGAAAGGAAGAAAGAAACTTTCTAGTTAGACAGTTGCGATCCGATCATCTATCTTGGCCTTGAATGTAATGATCGGATGTGCTATACCTACAACCTGTGTGTATTCTCCCGTGCACTCATTGGTCACCACAGTAGCTCAGGGAAGCTGCTCACTTGAGTACCAACCTCTTTCTTTTTCTGACGTACGCAAGAGGTCCAAACCTGCCTTTAGTGTAGGAAAAAAGCGTTTCATGTTTCCTTTGTCGCCTTTGAACAATTATTTAAACAAAACCCGGAAAGAAAGTTGAGGAGGGTGTTGTTTAATCTGATACGGAATCCCTTTGGGTTGCTTTGGTGTCAGCCCTGGCGTGATAGCGTTTATTACATTCATATCTTGAAAGACTTCAGTGTTGTTTCACCTCTCCTCACTCACTCAGACTCGCTGAAACAGACATTCACGGCTCTTCACTTCAACGTGGTCCTGCACAAATGGCTGAGTGCAGCCGACGCTCTCTCGGTTCTCGGAGAGGTATTCAGACGGAGGGAGAACCTCGCAGGCGACTGCTTCGTCTGCTGCATCATCAGCCGCGGTACGGGCAACCATCTCCTGGGTACGGACTCCTACGGCGCAGGTCTGCATCTGGACGACGTCAGGCGCCTCTTCAATGCAGATGCATGTCCCGTGCTGGCCGGTAAGCCCAAGCTCTTCCTCATCCAGAGGTACGACATCCTTGAGATTCCGCCCCGTGCCGGCACGCAGCACCGGGATGAGGATCTGGAGACGGACGGGTGCTTCGGACTGTCCAGGTGCGATTTGGTCCCGACGGATGCAGATGTGTTCTGGAGCCACTGCTGGACGGGTGAACAGCAACTGGTGCGGGGAGACCATCGCTCTGTTTACCTGCAGGTCCTGAGAGACGCTCTGCACAAAGGTCAAAGGAGGTAAGGTGCCTAGAGTGGGAAACACTTCCGCATCAGACGGTTTTCATGTTCGCCTTGAGAGAAAACAGATGTTTTGTGTTCCGACAGGAAAACGCACCTTGTGGATGTTCATACCGAGGTGAATGCGGCCATCTTTGAACATAACAGGAGGAATCCTGGAGCAACTTACCACATCGAGCTGAAACATACTTTAAGGAAAGAGCTTTACTTACAATAGTGTATTCATCACTATGATATAACGCTTAATCACCATCAGCGACATATTTACATATACCATATTACTTGCCTGTGAAGAACATACATATATTTTTTTTTACTGTGCATGCAGTGACACCTGCTGGTTGTAGAAACCTTAAACACTTTTGCAGCTTGTTTTGATATATATTTATTTCATGTTTGAAAGTAACTTTTTTCAATATGTTTCATAACAAATATACAGGCTAGACAAATACTCATCACCCATCTAACCCAAATGGCAGAACACCCAATCAGAGCCTCGCAATAGATTAATGCAAGACAAAAAAGAAGATTAATACAAGAGACTATACAGACTCTGTATATTTTAATCATACACAATGGTCATCTCATCAAATGTAATTGATTTATTTTTTTTAAGCATTAATCTGAATTGCCTTTGAAATGCCTCTTCCAGTGCAGCTTAAACGAGGTTGTAGTACCTCTTAGTATTTAATTATTGTTATTATACTTATAAGTAAGTAATGTAATGTGAATTGGTTAAATTAAGTACATCTATTGCTCTACTATTATTGTTATACCTGTTTTTTTTAATTTTCTATATTTTCTTAACTTTGAATGGATTGTCTTCATTTTGTTACTTATTTGCTACCAAAACCGAAGGATTTATAATGTGCATTCTGAGTTTGACTTTGATCTTTGTTCTTTTGTTTGAAATATTTATATTTCATACCAATATTGATGTTGGCTAAATTGTAATAAAGTTACTGGAAATAAATAACTAATACGTTTGAGAAGTTCAGGATGCAGACTCTTCCCACCCTCCAGTCTTAATACGTCCATATAATATATAGAGTGGGGTATTTGTCAACCATTAAGCTTCCCTGCCCACCCACCTACATGCCATAAAACCTTTTAAATTCTAAAATCTTCTGTATCGAATTACTATGTTAATGTTATGTTTACTTGGTAGTTTGTTGAATTCTATAGCGAATATAGAATTTGCACGATAGTGACTGTATATGCACATATTCAGCAAACATTGTATTTCAGTCTATACACTGACTCTTTATATATGTAGATAATGGGATAGATATAGAGAGATATAAATAGGAGGTGGGCTACTTCTACGTTACAGTATTCATTTATTTTTCTTCTTATAGATGTTGTACCTTGCTTAATCTTATAAGAAGCAGGCGAGGCGTGATATACGTTTCATGAACTTTTAATTTCAACTAGCACAGTCCGCTCTAATGCTACCCGGGGTCTGCCGCGCTCCGCTCTGCGCATGTCCCTCACCACTGACTAGGGAATGCTGGGTGATGGAGTTCTTTACCTTAACAGTAACCAGTAACATCTAGTAACATCACAATAGAGTGCTATTATGATGTTGATAAATACATCCATACAATATGCAATATTTCTGAAGTCGGACAGTGAATCAAAGATCAGTTAGTTATTTTTTCTTTAGACAGAAACAAACATATAATGTGTGTAAAACAGCACGTGGACATAATATAGTAATACAGTAAGCATGGTATATAAAGTTGTGTGACACCCAAGAAATGAACAAAAAAAACCTCCAGTATTGTGATTGTGACAACAGGAGGCAGGCGAGTCACGCGAGGACGAGGAGACGCGCACAGGAGCGGCGCTCGTGCACGCGCGCGGTCGGGTGCCGCTGTTGCTATGACGCAATGGCGACTGCGCCGTGGGAAGCGAGCGGGGAGTTGAATGAGTTCCCTCCGCAGTTGAAGGCAAGCAGCCGGTCCCGACAGCCGACAGGACACCGCCAGTGCCGAGGGACAGACAGCGGCCACGGAGACCAGCGGCGGGACCTCCCCTTCCTCCCCTCTGTCCTCCCACACTGCGTGGAAACCCGCAGCCAAGCCAGGCGTGTCCGTTAGCCGCCCAGCTAGCCGCGTCATGACCGTTGGAGACGTTTTCTCACACGTCTGTGCGGCTTCGCAGCGAGAGACGCTCAGCGACACCCAGTTCAGACCCTCGCTAGCTGAAACCAAGTGAGGGGCGGGTGGGGGGCTTATTTCATTACATTCTTTTTTAATTTCCAGTGGCATTGTCATCAGCAGCATTTCGGTGGACCTACCCGTGCTTTTTATTTCATTTTTATTTTTTTTACCACCATGGCTGAGAGAACCTCCACCGGGTTGCTAACGATGATGTTGGAGCCGACGCCGGCTGTCGCTGTTACCCTCCCGGCGGAGGTCCGGGAGAAGCTGGCGGAGCTGGAGCTGGAGCTCTCTGAGGGTAAGTTGACAGCGACATGCCGCAGGAGGGAAGGTGGTGGGGTGGGGGTATTTATTTTGACATGGTTCACGGTACACGACAGGCGATGGGAACCACCGCCCATGTTTTGAATGTCAGCATCACCGGAGGCTCCGCGCTCCCGCGAGTCCCACCGCAGCACCAACTTCTGAAGGCAGTTTTCTCCTCGAGTGGGACTGAAGACTAAAGTTAAGAGCTCGCCCTCTTGTGCGTTTCACCTCCTATGAAGCCCAAATGTTCACACTCCAAATCCCACATTTGATCCACAGCTGTCTTGAGTCAGCTGACACGCCCATCCTGCTGTTATCGATCTGGGTTTTTCACAGTAATTTGTCTTTTTCCTCGTTTTGAAGTGAATAAAAAAAGGAAAGTTAAGTTACTAACTAATGGCGATTCATTTGGAGAGGTCGGTAAATCAGGATGTCACTAGTACTTGCTCTGCCTCATATGCTTTTTGTTATAACTGAATGATTTTATTATGGTCTTCATGAAGTTTTTCGCTGACATTGCTCACCTGTACGTTTGTTTGTGTGCAAACCTCCACGCTGAACATAATTTACAACTTATGGTTGAACTGTCTCCAATTATTGATGTGAGAAACCAAAAGGCCTCTTTTTAAAACATGTCCCTGAGCTATTATTCTAACCCTAACCCTAGAAAACACTTGAGACATCACGTTCCCAGACAAAGTCCACTGATATTTGTTACACTACCTAAACTTTTACTTTATATTCAAACATCATCCCTCTGGGCTACGGAGACTAAATGAAGCTGGCCTCATCCTCATGCTGTCCTGAAAGGAGGAATTAATTGCTTTTCTTTTGTTTGTGCAATGAGACTGCAACTTTAACTGCTCCTTTTTTTATATTAGCTCTACTCACGTGGCCAAATCGGCTGAGCTGTGCTAAAGTCCTAATAATTACCTGATTAGATTGGGGATTTGACCCCTATGGCTGTGACGCCTATCTTATGCCAACTGCGGAGTCCACTGGTGGTTTCTGTAGCCCCACACCGGGGGGGGTTTGGAATAGACCGACGGTGCACGCTTCGATCGGCACGTTAACCGCCACCGAGTTCTCTATTGGCACAGCCATGTTTTTCAGGAGCGGCGGCAAAATAAATCTATATCGGTCCGGCTTCCCCTTCCTGCTCTCCACAAGCCGCATCCTGCCATGCATGCCTGCCTCCATGCGCTCTGTTGTTTCTGACCTTCACTGCCTCTTTGCATGACTCCATGTTTCTTCCATTTTGTCCCAGCTGAAAGGAGAAAATGTAATTCCCCTTCAGCGTAAAATGAAATCAACCCCCCCACCTTTTTTCTCTGTGAAACCCTATCCTGGTACTCCTGGTGAACTCTTCACCCCGTGATGATGCCCTTTGGTTGCCTCCCCGTTACGTCCTGTCTGTCTCGTGGGGGGTGGGGGTGGGGGGGGGGGGGGGGAAACAGACAACTCACTTTATTGGAAGGAGATGAGAGCCCGGGGATCCTGCAGGTTTTTCCACCCTTCTCGCTGAGCTTTTGGCTTATAGGGATTTCAAGTCAGGCAAGTCTGCGTCACAGGAAGGTCACATGTCTCTCTGCTCGAGGTGTTTGTGTGTGTGTGTGTGTGTGTGTCAGTGTGACTAATGTATTATTCATGAAGCTCAACTGGTGTGTCATGTATGTTTACTTTTAGCAACCGAGACAATCCAGCTGTTCAGCTAGATAATATTCCTGCGTCAGCAGTTTTGGGGCTGCTGATGAGCGAAATAAACAACCTGTGCGCTCCTATTGTGGTTGTAACAAATGCTGTTTCCTCTAGGGATTCATTCTCAATTTGTCGCGCTCTAGTTTTATTTCTCGCTAAACACGTGTCTGAAATGTTTTGCTTACTTCACTCTTCTTTGAATGAGAACCTGTTTTTTTTATAGCCTGTAAACCTGTAAATGATGTTGCTTAAAACGTGCTTTTGTTGTTTTTGTTCACACTCCCTTTTTTTCAGTGCGTGTATGTTTAATGATTTGAAAAGCACCTTACTGTCCATGCCTGAGGCCGGCCTGGTGAAGCAGGATTACTAAATAATCTTAATACCTTCGCTGATTTAAACATGGAATTGATTTAAAGGTGGAGAATGGACTGAATGGAATTGAAAGGGCTTTTCCAGGTGTAAAGTCACTGCAAATTTTGCTTTAATATCACATCATCATAAGCACCAATCAAAGTGAAAAGGGATTATTGTTTAAAGGATGTGCTCTTCTATTAAACCTCTTGGATAGAAAACACATTTTTGTATTTCCAGAATTTGTTAACATTCCATCGAGTGTTTAACAGTCCAATTAGAACAATATTGCCATTTGGCGTCATTGGGAACATGCGGCTGTGGTTGGATGCGAATGAATGGACAGTAACCGAACAACCCAGCAGCTGTCATCAGTATCAAGTGTTGCCAAATCCCGATTGTCGAGCCGACACGTGTGACATCACCTCTTAAGATTTTATCAACTTGCCCCGCAACTCAGAACTCTCTCTCTCTCTCTTTGTGTTCATGTCGAGTAACCAAAACTAAGACTTGCGTGTGTGTGATCACGTTCAATGCAGTCCATTAGCCATTCGCTTTTTCCCAAGAAATAACTACCAAAACCCTCTTCTACCAAAATTCTTCACATCGGAGTCCGTGGAGGGAACACGTAATATCTCTCAGCTGACCTGGATGGCCATGAGTTGTCGGAAGATGGGTCTCAAAGGAGGGCAAGAAGATGGATGATCCCCATTATCTCCTGCAGGGAGGAAAGAGGGAGAGACGTGTCTGCTGCGTAATTCATACACTCACTCTTTTCCATTCTCTGGTTTTCTTCCCTCCTCCCTTGTGTTTGCTCTCCAAACCCTCTGATTACAAAGTCTTTTTTGGTCCAGTGCTGGTGTTTGCTGGGGAACTGCCAAACCTCTGGTTGGTCATTGTGCTCGTTTCGCCCGCTCCATGCTCATTTTACAGAGGAGCAGGTCTCTCTGGGTAGTTTACGTGGGGCTTGTTTGTTTTCATAGGGAAAATGTTCTGCTGCTGGTTTGAGATGTTTGGAAGAAGATCCAGCAGCGTACATGTGGCTGCTGTTCTTGGAAAATCAACTGCAAATCGTCTTTATTATAAGTGAGATTATCCAGAGATGGATCTATGTACATCCATTTGTTCTTTCTCTTCCTAATCTCTGTTATGTGCTTGTGCAATGGAACCATTTCAGTTCCACCTTATGTAATCGCTTCAACAAAGGGGAAACTTCACTCGCTGCACTGAAGTAATGAGGTGACCAGGCGTTGTCAGGTGCTGGTTACTGTGGTAACAAGAGGCTGGTAATCAGCTTTAGTTGTATTTGCAGGGAGAAGCGTTTATTTTTGTCAAACACGCTCTCTAATTTCTCCCTAGTTCGACGTTACAAGACTTCAAGTACACCATGTGAAACAGGCAGAGGAATACAAAATAAAAACAGAATGTTGTTGTGTGAAACCTTTTTCAATTTAACACATAATGGTTTCTCATCCAACTTTGGTGCAGGTTTCTAATTAGTTGCAGTTTACAGTAGATCAACTTTTATATGAGCCGAGGCTCCCAGCTTCGCTCTTCTTGTGGTTGATCGTTTTTTCAGAACAAATCGGTAGCGGTCTGACACTTCTACGATAAAAGGACTTTTAGCTTCCTAAATGTACATGAACCTCCGTGACAACGTCCTCCACGATCAGTGAAGCAGAATCCCCTACGCTTTTAATTGCTGTCATTTACTTTATAGCCCAATTCCCAAACCCGCCCGAAATATTTTGCTCTGTCATAGACCTGTGCGCGAGGTGGAGTCTGTCGATGGTGGACAACCGTTTCATGAAATCCCCTTTTGGAAAGTATGAGTGTACAAGAAACGAGCGGCTTGACCTCAGAGTTTGTTGAGGATGGACCTGACGGCATCAGGGAAGCGGCGCGTTTTGTTCCTGACTCATTCCTCTCCATGGTCACCGCCAACTCAAGAAGAAACAATCTCCACTGGGCTCGGCCAGTGAGGCCAGCCCATTGTTATGCACAAAAAGCCGAGCATTCGACGAATGCAGAAACCACATTCTGCGTTAATAAGAGCTTTGAGAACACGTCAGATGCAGGACGATCACTGAAGGGACTTTGTACACAGCTGCCGGGGGGGGGGTCGCTCCGTAACAGGACCCGAAAGAGAAGAATGTTGAGCCTCGGAGCGAGCCGGCTGGCCGCCGGGGGCTGCTCGGCAAAGTCCAGTTTTGGAGATAAAGAGGCAGCTATACAGCGCGCCCCTCCCACACCCCATGGCACAGCGGACGACAGAACGCGGAGGGTCATACATATTTCAGGGGTGTGCCTCGGAGCAGAGCTTCAGATTCTTGTGCTGCTCTCCTCACATGCGTCTGCGCGTGAGAGTCGGCGCACGCGGAAGCGCTTGCGTGTGTTTGCGCCATTTACTTTCGTGTGCACGTGGATTGTCGAAATGGCCTCCTGACCACAACACAAGAGCGGTTTCATTTCAGCCCAACGATGATCCACATCAGCGGTTCTTGCCGTGGGGGATCGGCTGCATTGGGAAGCTGCAGGTCCGCCCTGTTTTTTTTTTCTGGCGAGCGCTCTTCAACATCCTGTCTATTTGGTAGCCTTGGATCGCAATATGAAGAAATAAGTCCGTTGCGTCCACAGACAGAGCTTTCTTTGCGGCGCAGTGATTTTGATATCCCCCTGAATTTAGGGTTTTCAACGTTGGTTATCATCATCAATTGATTTATTGTTTCAAGCCATAAAGTATTTGATAAAGCACACTAACTAAAGCCACAATCTTTTTTTAAAGTATGTTCTGAAACTTGAGATGCAAAAAAAAAAAAAAAAAAAGTTTTCCTCTTTGTGGGCATGCCGAAAATATGACATTTCATTCCCTCCCAACTGAGTCAACCGCAGAGTGACTTGCTGGTGGTATTCCAGCAATGTTTATTGCATAGCACTTTATTC